AATTTGTTCGACATTGTACAGATGTACACTTCTCAACATTTTCACCCGCTCGCATCATCTTGGTGCGGTGGCGCAGGGGTTAGTGGACCACCGACTTTGCTATGAACCCTGCCACCTGGGTTCGATTCCCGGCCATGGTGAACATCAGCGGCGAGTGATATCCAAAAGATCTCTTTTGACCTTCGCCCTCCTTCGCCGGCGCACCGTGGGAGACGTTGTTCTGCACGATGCCCGACGTTTCGCCCCATGTGCTCATCGAGTTTCGGAAGAGGCTTCCAGCACGTCGGATGGAAACGAATCGGGGCATTTCGATTGATTTATTTTCTTACTTTGAATTTATATTCTTGCGTATGAAAGCGAAATGTTCAGGAGACAGATGCCAACGTCGAGGTCTGCTGCTGCTGCTGCTGCCGTTGGCCACGACCATAGAGCTTCGTGTCGTGTCGCTGTTTCTCCTCCATTAAAGGAGCACAGACCACAGTGAGTTTTCTATGCGGTCCATAGCTTGGGTTGCACAACCACAGCCACACTCCTGTGGCTTGTGTCTTTAATGTATCTCGCTACCTCTGTGTCTCAATGGATCTCTATATATACCCTATAGTTTTGCTATTTCTCCTCCTCCGTTGAAAGAGCGCAGCCCACAGCGATTGACACATTGACCTGCAGAGTCCTGTGAGATAGAACATCTACTACTCAAGGGTGGTGGAGGGAGGGGGGGGCCCTCTTTGCTGTTGTTTAGCATTGGGTGCGGTTATTTTAGCCGAGTGGAAGGCAGAGAGAGCTCAGCCCACACGGGACTTTGACTTCTGAACTGACGGAGGCACGGAGAGGCGAGACGATAATTGCCCAGTAAGTGCCAATCCCAGACGAGTACGGCAAGTTTTATTGTATGGGGCGCCACGGTGGCGAGATGTTAACTACCTCGCCTTGTATACAGGAAGTCGTGGGTTCGATCCCAGACCCTGGGAGATGTTGACTACCTCGCCTGGTATACAGGAGGTCGTGGGTTCAATCCTGACCCTGACGCGCCTGTATATTTGGAGTTTTCATGTTCTCTTCCCGTGGTCGTGTTGATTTTTCAACCGGGTCCTCTGGTTTTTTCCCCCCACATTTAGAATCAACATCGCATATTTAGAGTTTGTCTGCGATACATTACCACGTGATAAGCCACTTCGTTGAGCTATCGTTTGTGATTACCAGGTCGCTTCTGAAAAAGAGCTCTATAGCTGAGAGGGCTTTACTTGGTAAAAAAAATAAAAATGGTAAATAGTTTAGAAACGAAGAGACCCATGAAGATACATTAAAGTCAAGAAACATGAGTGCGACTCTGGCCATGCAACCCACGCTGTGGACCATATCGTCAACCCATTGAGACAAATAGAGACCCATAGAACCCTTCCCCCCATAGAGACGCGTAGAGATTCATAGAGACATACAGAGATGCATTAAAGACACAAGCCAGAGTTGTGTGACTGTGGCCATGCTATGGACGGCGTCGTAAACCCACTGAAGTCTGTGCTCCTTCAACGGAGGGGTAGGATCGGCAAAGCGACACAAACTCTCTCTCTCTCTCTTTTCTGCTGAAGCCCTCCTCGTGCGTGACGAGCAGCCGCAGCAGACCTCGACATTGGCCCCGAGCTCCTGAAATTATCGCCGTTGCCATCGTTGCGCGAGAACCGAATCGTCGTCGTTACAGACACGCACAGACGCACGGTGGCAGGATTTTGCCGAGTGCTGCACATTCAGAGGAGGTAATAAAAGCTCCCTTATCGCTGTCCAAAATTGCGTGACCACTCCCCCCCCCCCGCCCCCCCCCTGTCGCGGGTGTGGAGACCTGCAGCGTTTACCACCGCTGTCGGGGTGCATTACAGCGATTACCGGGGACATGAACAACACAACCGGCTACATTCCTGGGGAGTGCGAAAACTTGTGGGAGTCTGATGCTGTCTGTCTACTCAGACACTGATGCTGCTGATGCTGCTGCTGCTGATGCTGCTGTTGCTACAGACACTGCTGCTGCTACAGACACTGCTGATGCTGCTACAGACGCTGCTCCTGCTGATGCTGCCACTGTTACAGACACTGCTGCTGATGCTGCTGCTGTGTAAACCGGCTGTCGCCGCCGATGTGGTTCCAGATGCCGCCTGTGAGTTTTGTACGTGTGTGTACAGCGTGCTGATAAATCCACTGCTGGATGAGGGGTTCCCCACGCCGTACGGGGTCGGTGGGGTTAATTTGATTGTACCTCGCCGCGGTGGTCAACGCCGGTTGGTGAAGGCGGACTTGCCTCGAGGTGGGAACGCAGAAGCGCAGTACAACGACGGATTGTTTTGCACTGCCCCCTCGCTGACCCCGGAAACGTAGTGCCGCAGCAGCCTATAACACGCCCTTTTGTTTATCCAAGAAAGTCTCGCTGAGTCCCAAGACTCTCTTCAGGAGGGTCCTGCTACATCGGGACGTTTTCCCGTGAATTCCACGACGTCACGTGGGAGGAAATTGGAGAACCCCCGGAGAAAACCATCGAACAAAGATGCCCATTGCATCGCGCGCTTTCCCATGCACCTCTGCGGCCGTCTGGAACGCTCTTCCGATATTAAGAGTCACCGGAGCTATGTCCTTATAAATCTGAGTTGAAAACTAATTTCTTCACAATTGCGTTTTTGTCTTTAAGTTTGTTGTCCTTCCCCCGCACCGCTGAGTAGCACGGTTGGCTATGTACGGTGCGGGAGAAAGCTCAACATACATATCCGCGAAGCCCAACACAGCGCGCGCACGCACGAGGGGATAACACTCGAACACTCGAAGCCCAGCTCCACACAGACAGGCGCACGGCCCCCGTTTGCTGCACTGCCATCTCCTGGCGACCAGCTCACCAGGAGATGGCAGTGTCTGTAGCAGCGGTATCAGCAATGTCCCAAAATCTCCGCTTGATCCACCAACCCTTGCCTCCAAACTGCCGGATGCGCCACCGCCACCGCCACTGCCATGCAACTCAAAAAAACTTCGCAGCCTCGCGCAATGAAAGAAGCTTTCACGATTCGTTTTGTTTTACTGTATTTTAAAGCCGCCGCCTGGCATGCGCAAAGTAAATAAACTTGGCTAAATCTGCCGTTAAAAATGAAAAAAACCCCGCACACGTGCTGGGTTAAACAAGCAAGCGCGTGTGTTATGTCTTTATCAACCAAAGCGTAGAAAACGATACGAAAAAAAAAATTTCGCGCAGAATTTTTTGCGCGTACCAGTCTGCTTATCTATATTATTAATAGAATTCATCTCGGCGCGAAAAACAAAAGAGTTCCTTTTTTTTTTTTGCTTAGCTTGTGTCAACGCTGTTGGCGAGCACCTGTTTTGGTCGCCGTGGTGTACGGAGATGGCGGTGTGGGCTCGCGCTTCTGCGTTTTGCTCGGCCATCTCTCTCTCTCTCTCTCCCCGGCGCTGGGGGAAGTTGACCCAGCAGCACCACCCCATTGCACCAAGATACTCATTCGAAGCAAACCGTTTGGGTGACGACGACGCCTCTGCGTTGGCAGCGACGAACGAGCACAGTCGACAACGACCCGACATTCCGTGGCAGTAACACCACCGCCGCGGCCTGCAACGTCCCTTCTTCATGGCACGTTCAAAATCTAAAATGGCTTTTACGCGCCACGACGAAGGGGCAATTTGGGGCAGAGTTTTACGCAAAACATCAACAACAGCAGCAGCAGCAGCAGCAGTCGCTGCTCGCCACCAAAAGGTAGTTGGCATCGCCTGGGCGCGCTCGCTTCCAGCTTGGGTTGACACGTTGATGCCGCGTGCTGTCTCCCGTCCGTAACACGGCGCGTACACGTGGCCCTTGCGTGGAATACGCGGCGGGCGGCGGGCGGGGGGGGATGTGGGGTGAGCAATGTGGAACTCTTGAGCTACAGCAGCAGCAATAATTATTTTTAAGCCATAAAATGTGAAGTTGTCGGGTTTGGACGCACGTGATTTCATACCCCCCCCCCTCCCCCCCGTTGCTGCATCACATTTTCTCCGTGCCGAGAGTATGGCGCGGTGGCGACAACGTCGTCCAATTCTCGTCACAATAATAGCGACGATCTTTGCATTCATTCGGCGCTTTGACGGCTTCGGCAAAAGCAAAGCACCTTACATCGCAGCTCACCTCGAACAGTAGAAGGCCACCCCCCACCCACCCCAGTGGCGGCTGTCCCTGTGCGGCACGTGGCCTGCGAGGGGGCATCAGTCTGTCAGTGGGGGGGGGGGTGGGCGGGGGGTGACGATTGCTGCGGCTGCTGCGTGTAATCCCAATTGAATACATTTGCAGGCCTTCTTTAAAAAAAAATTGCAAATTCGGACCGTGACGGCGGCACAGGATCCTCAACGTCGAGCGACGCCACGGGATCTTCAGCATCCGTCGTTCAGCGGATGACGCGTATTTTCTTTCCGCAGCGATGACCGGGGGCGGCCGCTAGATTCGAATTGTGAATGCGCCGCCGCAGCCGCCGCCGGCGGGCCGTGTTGCACGGAGAACGCTTTTTTGTGTTCGTTTGTTGACCCCCCCACTCCCCCCACCTCTGATTGGCGCAGTTGGCTACATACGGTGCGAAAGAAGTTCACCATCGTACATACATACATGCACGTGGGTAGAGGGCGCGAATTCTGTTTTGTTAAGAGAAGCAATTGGCGCTCGTGCAGGCCACGTGGACTAACGATGGATTAACGACGGAGCGGCAGCCAAAAGGAGGAAACGCAGCCCGAGAAGCAATGGCCGCCGTCGAAATGGAGCATCGAGATCGGCCCACGCGCAGGCACTGGGCAACGCAGTGACTTGGGGAGGCGTTGGCTGAATGGGGGTGGGGGGGGGGGGACAGGAGGGAAAGATAGTTCGGCACGGGAAGGCTTCGTGCCGTGCCGTGGCGCGTTGCGATGCCTGGAGTTTGATAACAAAGCAAAAACAATCCGCGCGCGGCCACCTGCGTTGACGTGAATGCGCCCGCGCTCTTGTCGCTGTGCCGCAGCAGTGGGTGCCAATCTGGGAGCGGCGGAGAGGGCCGACTGGGACTGGACGCCGCTGGTGGCCGGCCTGCTGGCTGTGGTGGCGGCGCTCGCCCTCCTCGCGCTGTTCCTCGCCGCCGCTCGCCGCCGCAAGGACACCGCCTTCGGGTGAGTTTCACCAAGGCCCGTCATTCGGCAGTGGATTTGTCAAGGCTGATGGTGATGATGTTGTTGTGGGTGGGGTGGGTGTGTGTGTGTGTCACGTGTGTGTGCGAGTGTTTTATATGATACTTAAATTTGGCTGCTATAAATTTCCAAGTGATAAGCCACTTCCGTGGGCTATCATCTGTGGCCAGATCGCTTCAGAAAATGAAGCTAATAGCTCAGTGGGCTTTGCCTGGTAAGACAAAAACAGTTTAGTTTTATTTGTATATATTTTTTAAAGTGATTTGTTTACCTTTCCTATACTTTGCACTCCTATTGTGTTTTGTATTGTTTATGTTGTAACGTTCTGACCCGCCCCAACTGGACACCTGTGAAAAAGAGCTTTATAGCTCACATATTCCAACCCTGATATATAGTTGAAACAATGGATGATTTTCTTAAATCCCTCCGCCTCTGTCCACCCATAAAGGTACACCGTGGTGAAGTCGATCCGTAGGTCACGTGCAGCGTGGAAGAGCAATTGTGTGCTGGTGTCACAGTCCAAATTTCGCAAATTCGATATATATAAAAAACAAATTTACATCGCAATATTTTTGTCCTATATTTGGGATTACTCTACAGGGTTGTCCAGATGTCTTGGGACCCCCCCCCCCCCCAATTGAATTCTCTAAAAATTAATAAAATGTTTTAAGTAAGGTTTATGAAGAAAAAATAGAGATGTATGAATATGCAAAGGAGCAAAAATTGTTAGGGGTCAATGAATTTTTTTTTTTGGAGGGGGTGGGGGGATCACAAGACATCTGGACTATCATCACCCTGTAGACACGTAGCAAATGTCGCCCCCCCCCCCCTCCTTGCTGCAGCCTGTGTCTGTGAAACACAACAAGTTCCTTCGTGCGCTCTTTAGGATGCCACTGCCGTCACCAAACGCGCTCAATTGTTTGTTATTACTGTCAGGAGGGAGAAAAAACAAATCCTTCACCCAGCACAATTGCACACGTGCAGGGAAGGAGGGGGGGCAGCTGTGCCGGAAATGGGCACGGGGGGCGTCTTTGCGATTCCGTAATCTTTGTTTATCCGTTACCACGGCGAGAGTGAGTTACGACGAGGGTCTAGACTTAGTCAATGCCAAACACGTGCACGGTGAAGACACGAGCAGAGTACGCGATGAGCAGCATCGTCGTGCGGAGGGGGGGGGGGGGTTAACGCAACGTTTAGCGCGTCGAACGAAGAGCTCGGCGGCCTGAATTCGATTCCCGCTCGCGGCCACCAACGCCGTTGACAATGACCTGAACCAGTCTCGGGCCTTCCCCCTAGGTCGACTCGGCCTCAAATGAGTACCCGGTGCAATCGGTAGATTGAAACATCGGTTTGACCGCCACGTGGGAAGCACCAATCTAATATCAGGGTGTGTGGGAAGGTGCAACCTCTACCGTGTTAAGGATAAACAAGCCACTTGAAGACTCTTTCAGAAGTTGTTCCGTGAAAAGCTGTTGCATACCAGACACATGGGGTTGCGCTGCCCGCACACGAGATTTCCGAATGGGTTCTCTGTCTCGTGACATGAAACCGGTAGTGCGCTGTGAAAGCATTAAGGTGGAGCATAGACAATAAACCATATTTAGTTTTTAAAGTGTTTTTGGATTAACACGTGCTAACACCTGACCATCGTTGCGGTTAGTCTGTCATTGATTGCGACTTCGCGAGCGCTGGCCGTTTGGTCATCGTGACATAACAGAAAAAATGACGGTAAGCGCCTTGGGATGGATGAGGCTTAAACGAGAAGCCGCGCGTAAGTAAGGCTTGCGAGACTTATGAACAACATCATTCACAACACTCTTTCATCGGCCAGTTTATTATTAAAAACACACTGTTAGACAAATGAGAGTGATCTCAAGAAACCAAAGTGGATTACTTTGAATATTGGCTATTCAAAGCGGATTTAATAAAGATGGAATGGCTTTTTTGCTTTACTCGTTCAGTCTGGAGGTGAAGTTTCTTTGCTGGTTTCTTTAGCTCGCTGCCTTGATGTTATTTTGCTCTGTATTCACCCCCAACTCCCCTTCCTCTCCTCCACGTTTTCCCTGTCCTCCCCCTTACCCACACCTCTCCTACTCTCCGACAACCCTCAACCGACAAACTACTAAACATAAACCGCCAACCAACAACTTTTGCCCGCCCGCCATTAACCACCATCCATCAACTCTCAACCACAAACCGCTAACCAACATCTACCAACACCCACCGACAACCATCAACCACCAACTGATCACCACCAACCGCCAACTGACAACTACCAATCATCGATTGCCAACCACCAACCGCCAACTGACAACCACCAACTGACAATCGCCAACCAACCAACCAACCAACCCCACACACCCAACTGCCCACCGCCCACCGCAGACGAGCGTTCCGTACGGTACCGCCCAGTGCCCTGGAGGAGCCCATGGTGTCGTACCGAGCCAAGAAGTCGTACTCGCGACGCGCCATCGACAACACGCGTACGTACGCACGCACACACTCGCACGAACGCGCGCTGAACGTCCACGTGCGTGCGCGCGCCAGCCAGCGCTGGCTCAAGCAGGAGCACGTGCGCGATTACACGAGGGAGTGCACGTGCGCGTTGGATTACTCGAGGCCGCGGTGATGTACCCATTTGACGAGCCATCCATTGAGGCGGCCAGTCGACAGATTCTCGCGCTTGCGACACATTCATCGGAGCCCCACACGGCAAGACCAAACTAATGACGTGGTAAATCCCTCAACGCGGTCGGCAACAATAACACCGTGTGGGCTTAAAAGGAATGATGTGTAATAGGCGACGTTTCGGGCAATGTCCCTTATTCATAGCTACATGAATAGAGAGGCCACACACAGGGATAGAGCGATCACACGTGTCCATGCCTCGAGTCAATGCAGTGTTAGCAAGGCACGCGTTTCACGTTTACGGTGTGTGGTTTGCCACCGCAGCATAAACGCTGACATTTCCCCGCGCACGCTCGTAATATTTCCTGCACGGTGTCCATGCCGCAGCCTGCGCCCCCCGCCTCCCCCCACCACATTCCCACGAAAGGCTTTGGGGGGCACGACCCAAGGGTTAAGAACCGCTGCTGTAGCGGCAGGTTTGACGCGCTGTGTCAACCGGGTCGCTATTTGAACGCGCAAACGTTGAACTCCGCGGCAGTGAGGCAGCACGGCGAGCGTTATCTTCACAACCCCCCATCCACCCCCTCGCCACCGCCTAAAAGCTTCATGCGAGAGTTGGAGCCGAGAGTCGCACAGGGGGGGCCCCCCTGTGAATGCGTGCGTGGGATTTCCAGAGCTGGGCTCCGTCTGTTTACATTCATAGCAGTCCAAAATTGTTTTAACGAGAGAGGAGGAGGAGAAGGAGAAGAAGGGAAAAAAGGCAAGGAAAGAAATGGAGCCACGTCTCCGTAACGCTTTCCATATGGCGTCAAGAAGGGAGACGGACCCCCAGCGAGCAGAATGCCTCTCCTTCGTGACCGTGCGCGACAGCACAGAAACATTTTTGACCCCCCCACCCCCCAATCAGCTCCTCGACAGAAATAACGCTCGCTCGCCCTATGCAATTTACTCAAAGTAATTGAGGCAAAACGGGTAAAAGGGGGCAGCCCTGCAGTTGCCCGCTCGTGCCGTGAGGGGCTTCCGCTGTGAGCGAGCGGGCTCCGGAAAACCCTCCTCTAAGAGGGTACTTGGCCTGCTCTTCTAACGCTGGCTTAAATGACTCGGCGTGGGGGGGGGGGGAAGAAGCGGGGGTAACCCACACTTTATCCCACCACACGTAATCCGTCAATTGACTGTGGCGGACCCAACTGTGGTGGACCTGTTTATAATGCTGGGTGGACAGAGGTGGTGGGGGAAGGGAGAAGGGACCAGGAGCAGTTCAGATGTCACTCAACCTTGGCCGAGAATCTAAACTGAACCAGGTAAATCCCACTGGACTTTATTGCTCTTTTTCAGAAGTGACCTGGCCACAAATGAAAGCTCAACGAAGAAGTGGCTTATCACGTGGAAATTGGTAGCAGCCAAATACTCTAAACACATGTTTCTACATGTGGAGGGAAAAACCAGACTACCCGGAGAAAAATCCACGCTACCACGGGGAGAGATGCACGCAAATTCCACATATACAGGCATCGGGGTCGGGATCGAACCCACGACCGCCTGTATACCAGGCGGGGTAGTTAACATCTCGCCACTGCGGCACGCTAACCACTGCGCGACCGCTCCACCCCAGAGGCAAATTAGTCCCAAGTAAATCACAGGTAAACAAATAAACAGAACAGCAAACGAAAATCGCCTTCGCGTGTTACAGTCAGCGTCCAATGTAGATGTTTTATCGCTACATTTTTCTTCTCCTTCCTTGGGGAAATAATTTTTTTGTGGGGGGGGGGGCGGCAGGAGAGAGGGGGGGGGTAAGGGGCCGAAGACTTATTTTGCAAATTGCAGTTGTTGTAACTTGATCTGTGACAGAGGAATGCGTTTGGGGGCCCGATGTTTACATCTCGCCAAATTCGCCCACGCTGGTCCGAGTCGCCACCACGCCGCCCTTGCGACCCTCCGGCACGGTGCAAGCGCTCGCAAAATCGACCCACCGGTCCGGCGGTGAACGTGCGCCCGCCGCACCTGCGATCCACCGAGTTTGTCGGCAAGGGTTGGCGAATCACGTAGAGATCCGTGAACCCCCCCCCCCCCCCGTCCAAAACCCACCCGAAGCTGCTAAGCAGCCCAGAGGATTGCAGAACAGGAAATGTATTTTTTGTATGTGTGTGTGTGTGTATGCAGGCTGTGTTGGTGTGCGTGTGGTGCAGGCTGGGTGTGTAAGTGGTGCAGGATATGTGTGTGTCAGTGAGGGGGTGTGTATGTAGCTAGGTTAGTGTATACTCGGGGCTGGTAACCCCTCCACCTGGCACTCCTACCAAGCACCAAGCAACAAGTTGGTGCATCTGCCAGTCATCTCAGTTAGCCAACCCATGCCACCTGGATCTGTCCCGAGACCTCCTGTCATCGAGCCTTCGGCACTTCACGTGGCCTAAAAGTGCACCTGGCCTGGCACAGGCATCGTAGTGACATAACCGTGACGTAGTGGCCAATGGCGGGTATTGTATTGTATGTTGAACTTCTTCCGCACCATACGTAGCCACTTGTGCTAAGCGAAGCTTTGAGTGTTCTCCCCTTGCACATGTGTGGTCGGGTTTTCTCCGGCCTCTCCGCTTTTCCCAAACACATTGAGCCAAATTCTTGAGTCACAGAATTGGACAGAACCATCCCAATACAACGGGAACTTCTTGAGACTCCCAGACGATATTCTCGTTAGCTTAAGGCCATGGTTATTGTCATCATTCATATTATTGTTATTGCTTGGCCAAGAGGGACATTGATGGATGGGGGGGGGGGGGGTGGTGGTGATGGAGGGGTGCTGGGCTGGTCCCTGGACCACCCAATGTCCCTTTGGCCCCTCACACACTATTTCTACTGCTCCCACCCCATAAACTATTTTAAACTATTTTCTACTTTACCAAGTAAGGCCCGCTGAGCTATATTGTTTTTTTTTTCAAAAGTGACCTCGCTATCACAAATGATAGCTCATGGAAGTGGCTTATCACGTCGAAATTTAGAGCAGCCAAATATTATAAACGCATGTTTCTAAATGTGGGGGCAAAAACCGGAGAATCGGGAGAAAAATCCACGCAACTATGGGGGAGAACACGCACACTCCAAATATACAGGCGTCAGTCGAGATTGAACCTACCACCTCCTGTATACCAGGCCAGGTAGTTAACATCTCGCCACTGTAGCACCCATAATCCAAGAGGAACTGGAGCCAGGCTTGTTATGGAAGGCCTTCACGAATCATGGCTGATTTTTTTTATTTTTTCGTGAATTCACCCGAATGCCTACGAGCACAGTCCTACAGACCTCCGCCTACAAGTGCGGAAGCTGCTACGTTTTGACATACATCTTTGGGACGGCTCCATCAGTTCGTATGAACCCCGGGGGTTGAAGGTGGCAGTAGACGTAACATTATTTCACGACGCGGTATCGCACTGGCTTTCCTCATTACTTGCGACCTTGTGGGGAGAGTCTATAATAAACAGAGACCGGGTTCAGGAAGTGTTACTTTCAGACGAGCGTCAAAGAGTGTTATTTTTTAGTGAATTATCCTGGCTGAAGGAGTGGTTCCTTCGTTCCGCGTGATGAAAGCACAGTCCGAGCCAGCAAAGTTAATGGACCTGGGTTCGCCTCTGGGTTAAAGCTGCCCCGTGATTGAAACCGAGTTCTCAAGGGCAGCGAGTTGATGGGCTCAGCTCGGTCAACCATGACTCCATGAATTACACCCATCGAGTTATGTTTGGATGTTGAACTTCTTTCGCACCGTACATAGCCAACCGTGCTAATTGGAGGTGCCGGGGAAGGACAACAAACTAAACACAAAAAGCAGATCTAAAGAAATTAGTTTTCAATTTAGATTTAAAATTGCATAGCTCCAGTGCCTCCCAAAAAAACGGAAGAAAGAGCGTTCCAGATGGCCACAGAAGCACATCTGAAAAAGCGCGATGCAACCGCTATGCTTACCTCTGTAGCTGTGCACACGGAGCCTCGTGCTCGGAAATTGAACTCAGGCTGCTGGGTTCATCTACCTCGGCAGCTGTGTGCACACAGCCTCGTTTTAGCACTGCCTTCGGTTCTTGAGCTAAAAGGGGAATGATGGACAAAAACTTCAATAAGTCGCTTGTAAAAGGATGATGATTCTGATTAAATAACTACTTTAATTCAGATATCCACCAACATGAAAGTCAACACATTCGTCAATTACACTGCAGCCTTAAAAAGGAAAAGTATACATAATGCGACAATTTGCCCTTTATGTTATTTATGTGCTGTGAAGAAGGGAAATTGCCGGAAATGTCGCTGATCATAAACTTTTCCTTTCAGGCCAGAAAGTGTTATAAACGAGTGTTGTGTTTAAAAAAATATTTTTATCACCAAATTATTTATCCACTAACAGGTGTTTCGAGCAAGCAATCGCAATCAACCAATCACAACCAACCAGTCACAACCAACCAGTCACAATCAACCAATCACAACCAACCAATAACCAACCAATCACGCCACTCAGTTTTTTCCCGCCATACAAATTTCGAAATGAAATGTTTTCACCTTGACAGCACAGCTACTCTCTCGGGTCGTTCTTGCAAATGAGACTATCACGAGTTCTCACCCACTTCAACAACATTAAAAAATATATAACAACTATGTGCGACAGCGCAATTGGAACACGGTTGATTATGGAACAACTAGGGATTGTTTTTACGGCCTTCGGCCAGGAATGTCACGAAAAAAATTGCACACAAACGACACATTCACGCAAGCACCCGATGCTCCGTTTTTGAAGTTTTAAAATGAAACATGTTTTGAATTGTATTATGTTTTTAATTAGATAATTTTATTTCTTCATTAAAAGCTTATATAATTTTACATCTGGAATACTTAGTTGAAAATGACATTTCGTGTGAATTTCCTCTCGTCGTTAATTAGATGGCCTTGCTCGGGGTTTGGTTCGATGCGGACTTTCACCCGCCCCTCTATAGCACCGCCAAGCGTTGGTTGGCTGCTTGGTCCCGGTCACGTGACGCACTTCAACCAATCCGTACCGCGTTAGTCACAGAATGACAGAATCACAGACCTGGGTGTTTATATATTAGGATATCAGAAGGAACATTTAACTGAACATCTTTCCTTCCTCTCTCTCTCTCCCTCCATCTCTTCCGTCTCTCCCTCTCTGTGTGTGTCTCTCTGTCTCTGTCCCTCTCGGCTGGTTCCTCTGCTGTGCAGTCACGAGCCTCGGCGTGAGCGAGGAACTCAAGGTGAAGCTCAAGGAGGTGATGCTGGAGAGGAGGCAGCTGGCGCTCGGGAAGGTCATTGGCGAAGGTGAGGCCTCGCGAGTGAGGGGCGGGGGGAGGGCGCTTGGTGAGGGGTTGTCCGTGGAGACGAGGGTTGGTCCGTGGCTGGTTCCTCGACCCACCGCGCTTGCGTGTACAAATTCTCTGGCACGTGTCGTGACGCGAAGTGCAAGGTCCTGTACTACAAAACTATAAACTAAACCTTTTTTTTTATTAAACCGGAGGACCCGGAGAAAAATCCACGTCACCACGGGAAGAGAGAGACACGCAAACTCGAAAAATACAAGTGTCAGGGTCGAGATCGAACCCATTACCTCCTGCATACCAGGCGAGGTAGTTAACATCTCACCACCATTCCGATCCGACCGTGTCTGCCCAGCGTTCGCCGAGCTGCATTGGCTTCCGGTCGCCAAACGAATACGCTATAGGGTCGCGCTCGTTAAACACAAAGTACTTGCCACGAATTAACTACGATACCTTGCTGATCTAATCAAGGAGCATAAACCATCAGCACGCGAATTCTGGTCATCCTTGCAGCGGCAGCGGCTTTTGGCTGGCCGTCGAAGAAACAAACAGACGGTCACTGCATCGTGCACTTTCAGATGCGCTTCTTGCGGCCATTTGGAACGCCCTCTTCCTTCCAATATTAGGAAGCCACTCATTTCCTTAAAACAGTTTTTTGTATTCATATTCTTAGTTTTTTCGGTAAAGTCACGTTGAAGAGAAACAACAAAATAATAAAATATATATAAAACAATAAAAAATTCTCACGACGTTTCGACCATAACTCAAACGGTCATCTTTTTTGTGTTTAGTTTGTTGTCTTTTCCCCACACCTCCAATTAGCACCGTTGGTTATGTACGGTGCGAAATAAGTTCAACACATGTACATACACCACGTGCTTTGCGTGTAGCTACAGTTCACCAACTGGTGGCATAGCTATCGAGAGGACAGGCAATGCAACTGTGCCCAGGGGAGGTGGGAGGGGGGTGCTGGGGCAGGATAAGTTCAGGCACCTGACTGTCAAAGAGGAAACGCAGTGATACATCAAGCGGAATGATACAGTAACACGGCGGCGTACCCTCAGTGATTCGTCCCGCTATCTCACTGCACGGTGTGTGTAGTAGCAGTAGCAGCAGTACATCGTGTCTCGCCAAACTTCATTGTTACAACGTCAAATATGGAGAAATTGATCTGGGTCAATGCGTTTTTCGCTTAACGTGTCGCGTTTCAAGTACGCATCCCCTACCGCCTTAAACGAGTACTCGCTGTGCGTATTAATCGCAGCACATCAATGGTGCAAATTATTTCTTTATTAATCACCAAACACGTGCCAGCGGAACGTAGGAAGTGAAGATGGCGTGCCGCCACCCTCTGCGAGGAAAAGCGCGTTTCGTATCCCGTGTTGGCTTTCGTTTTCACGGATAAAACGTTCGCACTGCTACCGTAAGACGATCGTCAGAAATTGCATCCTCTTCTTGGGATCAGGGGGAGGGGTGGGATGTGTTGTGGTGGGGGGGGGGGGAAGTATGAGTGAGTGGTATCCTTTGGCAGCTTGGATGTTTAAAAATAACCTCATTTCCCCTTCCACGACTGGTGGGAAATGATGGGTAAAGGGAGAATTTTTGAGCATCTATGAGCTCGGCGAAACTTTTGTTTTTAAGTTGAAATGTTTGACTTGGAAGCACGCGCTTTGTTTTTGTAGAATTTATACCAGGAAACCCGGCCTCTGAAATCCCAGGGCCTTCTCGGAAAAAAATGGGGGGGGGGGGGAGGTGAAAATTACTGCTTGTGTTTGAGAAGACATTTGACTCATGACACTACTTGCATTTGTATTAATATCAATTAATTCATTATAAAATATCTAAAATAATAATAAAACATCTGTGAGGATTATTTGAACTGGTCCTGGGCCTCCCCTAGGTCGACTCGGCCTCAAATCGGTGATGTGTAAAACATCGCCGCCGGTGAGACAAAGGCGGTCGGGCGTGGTGCTGGCCACCCACTCCCTCGTGTGTTGTGCTGCTATTCGCTAACACAGCACTTGCCCCAAACGGTCTGTTAGGAGGCTACACTGGGGGGACCTTTGTCTTTGTTTCCTCCACTAACGCCGCGACGTGGCCCCCCCTCTCCCCAGGCGAGTTCGGCTCGGTGATCGAGGGCCGCCTCGTCAGGGAGGGGGCCAGTAGCGAGGGCACCAAGGTGGCCGTCAAGACCATGAAATGTACGCACGCATTTCCACACACGCATTTCCACACACGCACGAATTTCCACACACGCACGCATTTCTCCGTACGCGCGCACGTACACACACATGCATTTACACGTGCGCACACACACGTACAAACGCAACTCCATGCACACGCGTACACACGCATTGCCAAGCACGTACGCATTTCCATGCACGCACGTGCACACGCATTTCCACGTACACACGTACACACGCATTTCCACGCGCGCACATATGCGCGCCTTTACCCGAGCCCTGCCTGCAAATCACGGCGCGTTTCCCCATTTCCTGCAGGAGTGTCTGTTTCAGATTAAAACAGTCGCACAGAAAGAAAGAAAAAATACAACAACTTTCCCCTCCGCCTGCCTTTTGGGGTGTGTGAGTGGGGTGGAGGTGCGAGCGAGCGGTTACAGTGGAGTGGTGAGCAGCGTGGTTGCCGTGTGACCCCGGTGCCAATAATTAAACGGCGGTCCTGGTCCTCGATGTAGAGAGGAGGTTGTGAGTCGCGCTGTTGCTGCTGCTGCTGCTGCGGAGAGTTCCACCGTCAGCTGTTAGTGCAGGGGGACGACCAAAAGCAGGCGACCTTGTAGCTGACCCCACTGGCCACAGGAAGCCAGCGAAGGGGGAGCGGATACCGTGAAAGATGGCGGCAGCTCAGGGAGGCCTTGAAAGTCCGGCGCTGGATAAATCACTGCCGCTGATAATGTATACGGTGCGATTTTCGCCCAAACTTGATTTAGCAGTTGGGGAAAATCCCATGGTCTATGACCTCTCAGCGCAGCTGAGAGCCTGTCTCCACAAGTAACTGCCAGAGGGTTGGTCCTATTTTTATTTTCTACCTTTTAAATCTTTAAATAAGAAAATGTTGAGATGCATGAAACGTTGTAATATTGCCGACAGCAAAATGCACGACAGGGGTTGTGGTGCTGAAGTCGCTTCGTTAGCGGCGCTCGTGAGACCAATCCTGGCGCCGGCTTGTGGCCACTTCGCTTCGTTACCTCGCGATGAGTGAGACGTGACGGCTCCATTTGAAACAAGGCCGCCATTCTCCCCCCCCCACCGCCACGTGCACGTCACCTCGATTACTCCCAACCACTCCACCGGCTTTCCTCTGCAATCCCAGATCAATTGCAAGGTCGCACACGCTCACCGTCTGCCCGCTGCCTACGTCTCTCCGCTCCCACCTCACTCTGTACCCCTCCACACACACACACACACTTCCCTCCTCTGTGTGTGGCTGTGTGTGTGCGTGTGCCTGTCGAGCAGTGGTATAACAGTCAGCGAGCTCTGCCACGGCTAATATCGGTTGCCTTAAATGAGCGCCTTATGTGGTGTGTAAACATCAGCGCTGCGGGGAGAGAGGTGGCCTGATGTGGCGTTGGCCACCCCCTTACGTGCCGGGCTGGCCTTCATAGGTGCTTCTCACTAACAGCGCTTGCTTCAAAAGTCTGTTAAGGTTACAGGGGGGATCTTTGTTGTTTGTTTTTTTTTGCAGTGGACATTTGCTCCCGGAACGAGATGGAGGAGTTTCTGAGTGAGGCGGTCTGCATGAATGAATTTGATCACCCCAATGTCCTGGGTCTCATTGGTAAGGATGCATCTGTGGATTCTAGACATACGACTACTATAAACAATTTTGTTTTAAAGCTTTCGTGACTGCAGTAATTCATATTCTTAGCTCTTTCGGTAAAGTCACGTTGAAGGGAAACAATGAAATAATAAAATATATATGAAACAATAAAAATTCTCACGACGTTCCGACCATAACACACCTGATGACGACCGTTTGTGTTATGGTCGAAACGTCGTGAGAATTTTTATTGTTTTATATATATTTTATTATTTTATTGTTTCCCTTCAACGTGACTTTACCGAAAGAGCTAAGAATACTATAAGCAATGCAATATTTTTTTTTATTTTATGGCTGCTGCTGCTGATTGATGATGATGATGATGATGAAAAAAACGAGGTAGAGTTTCATCATAAGACCCAGGAGACATGACGATGGCTCGGAAAGGCCTTTATCCAGCAGTGGATCGCTTCTGACCAATGATCACAATGATGACGATGGTGATGCCTACAACAAGAAAACGATGGATAAATCACGGTTCGTTCGATGAAACAAAGTTTTTACTCCAGCGATAGCTACAAGTGGCGGATGACGCTGATCGTCTGTTTGCATTTGGCCGGGGAAAGAAAAAAAAAGCAAAGCAAAGCACAAAAGCCCAGCGAGCATTCCGTCCCAGGAGGTCCGGGGAGAGCCGTGGGAACTCCTGGGCGACTTGCGCCTTGCAGCGTTCCAGCGTGAAGCAACCAGGCTGCTGCGCGACGTGGGAATGTGACTGCGATCCATCGCGGGGCCACGGGCCTGAGAAAATAGTTGCTCATCCCGTGAGTCCGCCCACGGGCCCGCCCACCGGACACCCGCCCGCTCGCTCGCTCGCTCGCTCGCCCGCTCGCACGGGGTATGGGGAGGGTACCGGCCCCCCGGGGGCCGTGAACCGATGCTCCCACGTTAAGCCCCGATTTGTACGCATGTACACGTGTGTTGAGCCTCTTTCACCACCGTCTGTAGCCAACCGTGCTAATCGGAGAGATGCCGTCCCCTCTCACCTCGCATCCCCGCATGCCGAAGGCACGTTTCGCGCGTGCTCCGCTCGTCCCTAGTTTACACAATGTATACACGTTGCCGGCATAGCTTGTGGAACATCAGAGCCATACAGAGCGCTCCGTTGTTTACTGGCAAGCACGGGGAGATATGAATAACCTTGCTTGTTCAGGCCATTAACCAAGCTCCCACGTTAAGGCCCCGATTGCACGTATGTACAGGAATGTTGAACGTCGTTCGCACCGTACGCAGCCAACCGTGATACAATTCTAGGAGGTGCGGCCAATTGCCAGGGTCCGCCCGGTAATCACGCGAGGCTTGAGCCGTCCAGGGCTCGCGGCCCGCAGGGAGAGGTCCCCTTCGTGAAGGGAGCCGCTCGCTTTTATCCGTGCTGCCCGCGAAACCGGTCATGTTTTTTGTAAAAAAAAAAAAATATATGTAATAATAATGAAGGAAGAAGTGGAATATTTCGCACCTCCGATTATCACGGTTGGCTACGTACTCTGCGAAAGAAGTTCAACATACGTATATACCGGCAACGGTTTCCGATGTTTAGCTCCCTCCGTTTTTAGAAGGAAGCTCCCAGGTGCGTGGAGCGAAACGTCGGACACAGTGCCGATCAACGCGCGGCAGAACTCGAAAACACATCGGACAGGACTTGCACGTTGTCCATTGACTGACGGGAAACGAGCATTGAAATACGTACTAAGTCATTATTTAAATTGTGACGATGCTGCTGCTGCGTTGGCAGTGACCGCACAAACACAAATAAAACATCTCGACACATTTGTCAACAGCGCTGTGGCCCTAAAAGGAACAACTGTGTACATAAAATAAATAAAACATTTCTTCACTGCAGTCTGGAGGGTAGGGGACGATGTGGGAGGACGGTGGGGGGGGGGGGGGGGGGGCAGGGGGGGAGGGGACTGAACCCAGGGATCTTTGTGGCTCACGGATCCGTGGGCATCCGTGTCCTCTGCCTTAGTGGTGATGCTGGACCCCGAGTGGGCCATCCCTGCGCCGCAGGGCCCCCCGGTTGCCCGGCGGCTTTGGGAAATGTTGCATTAAAGTCATCCAGAGAGCAGCTGTTGCACACTTCCTTTTGGCGTCCGGCAACAGAGTGAAACGTGGGCCGATCCTTTACGTAACGCGCGACCGCCGTCATTCCTGTTCATCGAAGTTGTCTTTACCGTTAGTGTCGTCATCATCATCATCCTCGTCGTTTTTTGTAACGGATATTTATTTACATGTCTTGGTAATTCCCCACCCCCCCCCCCCACCCGTCCACCCCTACCGCCTCCAATGCATTGTGTTCTTGTTGGCCTTGTGTCATGAGGTGAAGAATCCATTGAGACATCTCGCAGAGCGGCGCATTGCTCCGCCCCCTGTGTCAGAGAATGACCGTGGGAAGGGAATTTTCCACCGAACCTTTCACTCAATTTGTGTGTCCTTTACACTGCAGGCATCGCGCCTTCCCACAAACTCTGCTATGAGGTTTCACACTTGACCCTTGAAATGTTTAATTCTCAGTGCTGGAAATTTTGCTAAATTAGGCGAAAAATCCAAATTGCTGATAGTGGAGGTTTTTTTTCCCCTTCCTGTTTGATTCATTGGGTGACCAGGCTGACACCAAAAACTCCCCGCACTTGAGAATCCGGTTAAATCACGGCTGAGACTGTGGATTCTGTGGGTCTCTATGTGAGTCTATGGGTCTCCATGTGGGTTTATGAGTCTCCATGTGAGTCATTGGTGACCAGGCTGACACCAAAAATTCACCACACTTGAGAATCCGGTTAAATCACGGCTGAGACTGTGGATTATGTGGGACTCTATGTGAGTCTATGGGTCTCTATGCGAGTCTATGGAACTCTATGTGAGTCTATGAGTGTCTATGTGAGTCATTGGTGACCAGGCTGACACCGAACATTCACCGCACTTGAGGACCAAATGAAATCATGGGCGGCTGAAACCAGGAATTCAAACCCATGATTATCATTGGTGGCACCTCGGTGCTCCGAGCTGCCACCAATGAGCTTCCCAAGCCACCTTAACAATAGTTTCAGGAGGCACCATGTCACCAAACAGGTCACACTGCAGCTCGTTCATTTCATTTCATAGCAAGGCACGATGGGAGGACCAATCCTCTGGTCACAAACAGCGGCGCTGGCTCGGCGCACAGAACTCCAAGCCATTCGTCCTCCACGATCGTCCTCGGCGTCGCTGTCCATTCATTCGCTTATTTACTCAAACTACGGCACAGCAACAAAATCTAAGAAACAAATCGAACCGGCAACCGCTGGATTGCAAGTCCAGTGCGCTGCTGACCCTTACGTGGGATACCACCATCAAATTCGGAGGGCGAGGCTGCACGTTGACCCCAAAATCCTCATCTGGTATCTGACGCGACGTGACGCGTGCGGTGCCCGCCCGGCAGGAGTGTGCATGGAGATGTCCCAGCAGCACCGCATGCCGCGGCCGATGGTCGTCATCCCGTTCATGCAGCACGGGGACCTGCACAGCTTCCTGCTGCGCTCCCGCATCAGCAACCAGCCCACGGTGAGGCTCTGCCACTCGCCGCTCACCGCCACTCGCGCGTGCCCGTCATCCAGGGAGGCCCCGTTTAGTTCCTCGCTCCGGGGGGTTCGATGCCGACCACGCTACGCTATACGCCACTGCGGCCGCACGACCCCCGAGCCTTTGTGGGGGGGCGGGGGGGGGGGGTAGAGATGCCGGGAGCACGCGGTCTGCCAGGACAGGCTCGCTCAGACCGAGCAGGTCACCCCCTCCCCCACCTCTATAGCGAGACGTCCGTGTCGTGAAAAGTTCACCCGCAGCGATGACGACGCCCGCCCGCTCCATCGGTGAAATTCTCGCTTTTGCTAAAACTTACGTGCGTACATACGTTGAGCTTCTTTCGCGCCGTGCGTAGCCAACAATGCTCATCGGTGGTGCTGTCCTCCCTCTCGCCTCGCGTCTCCGCGTGCCACAAAGGCACGTTTCACGCGTGCTCCGCTCGTCCCTAGTTTACACAGACGGTATACACGTAGCTATCTATGGCTGGTGAAGCATCAGAGTACGTATGTTGAACTTCTTTCGCACCGTACGTTATTTACTGGTAAGCACAGGACATATGAATAAACTTGTTTGTTCGCAATTCCTCTCTCTCCCAATCTCCCCTCTCCCACTTATACCGATCACATTTACTGGTTTTTCTATCTCTCTCATCCCCCTTCTTTCTCATCTTGTTCCTTCCACCTCCCTTCTCTCCCCTCTACCATCTCCCCCCTCTACCATCTCCCATCCCATCTCTTCTGCTTTTTACAAACTTCCTCTTTTCTCCTATCATCTCCCCTATTCTCTCCCATCCTCCCCTGCTCGACCAACCCCCCCCCCCGACGGCTGACCCCCGCCCATCACGCACAGCTCGTGCCCCTGGACACGCTCGTCAAGTTCATGGTGGACATCGCGGGCGGCATGGAGTACCTCGCCAGCAAGAACTTCATCCACCGCGACCTCGCCGCACGCAACTGCATGTGAGTGCGTGCCGTCGTCATGGTGGATGCGTCACATCGTCGCCCATCTCATCCAACTTCATCATCGCCCACTTCCCTCTTCGCCATCGTCCCACCTCCTCCCTGTCCACCATCGTCCCACCTCCTCCCTCTCCCTTCACCACCGGCAGTCATCCCTTCTGGCGACGCACCCTGCCCGAGCCCACTCTTCATTTCTGAACGGTCGCAGCGAACGATGTCCCACTGCTTAGCCAGCCGCTTGTCGTACGAAACATTTGCTGATATTTCGCTCTCGCATCGTCACCACACCGCACACCCACCATTGAACCTCCCGTTCACTCTGCTGCCCGCTCTGCCTCCCACTCTGCCGCCCGCCCGCTCTCGCCCACCCCGTGTCTCCCGCGTGGCCGCAGGCTGCACGAGAACATGACCGTGTGCGTCGCCGACTTTGGCCTTTCCAAGAAGATCTACAGCGGTGACTACTACCGGCAGGGCCGAATCGCCAAGATGCCCGTCAAGTGGATCGCGCTGGAAAGTCTGGCCGACCGGCTCTACACGTCCAAGAGCGACGTGGTGCGGAATACACCCGCTCACTCGCTCACTCGCTCATTCGTATGCATCCCCATTATAGCCCAGTATAACCTTGAAAGGCTGTTGGGGCAAAGGTGGTTAGAGAGTAGCAGCTATAAAGACCGGCACGGCACAGACAGGGGTGGCTAACATCATACCCACCCGCCTTTGTGTCCTCGGTGGCGTACCAGGTTTTATTTTGAGGCTGGGTTGACTCGTATACACACGCACATACACACCAACAACAATAACGCCGTGACGTCACCACGACGCTTGAGCCAAGCTAGGTGCACTTTGAGTTTGCGTGAAGTATCGAGGGCTCGCTGGCAGGTCGTCACGTGACACCCAGGTGTCATGGGTTGACTGGGAAGACGGACAGACGCACCAGCTGCGCTCCTCACTGCACCAACTCGTGGCGTTTTAAGCCACCCGGTGCGCACGGGGGTAGTAGCGGTGAGGACATCACCGTGCCTGACCGCCTTTGTCTCCCCAACCATGGTGCGCACAGAGCCGCACCAGACGCAGTGCTCATTTACGGCCGAGTCAAGCTCGAGTAGGGCCAGGACCGCTTCAGAAAAACAATCTCTCCACCGATGTTGGCCTTGCCCCAATATCGAACTCAGCATCCCCCCCCCCCACCCACTGCTGTCATCGTACGGACGGGGCTGCGAGCCGGTGGGATCGGTTTCTTACCGGACAGAGGGGGAGGGGGGGATGGCCAAGAAGTCCAACTTCCTCTCGCCGGACGCGGAAAAATATCTGCCCATGCTGGCTTCTGGCTGCCCCTCGACGCTCAGCGTAATCGCGTTCTCCACTGCTCAACAGCTGGAAGCATCTGTTGACTTTTTGCGCAGAGCGATTGACAGCACAGCAACTGGATTTTCACGTGCGTGCATTGTTCCGTTGTTGCACGTACGTATGTCGAGCCTCTTCGCACCGCACGTAGGCAACCCGCGGCTCGTCGGAGGTGCGCGGCACATTGTGTTAGTGTGCCGTGGTTTTGTGCGGGTTTTATATTGGCCCCGGTTTTCCGCAACTGCAGTTCCTCGGCCTCCGTTCATCGAGTCTCAAACTTGCATTGCTCGGTTCGTACCCGGGTCGCTCTGGCGAATGAGACTCTCCATCCTGGCGGTCGTTTCGAGTTCTCCCCTGGTTGATAAACTTCACTGGACGCGGTCCTTCCGCGTTTTGCAAATTAAGTTGACGCATACCGCCTGCGTCGGATGATTGGTAATCCGTACTTGCCACTGAGTTGCAGCTGAAACATGATGGGGATTCATCGACGGGCCATTGACCATTGCAGATTTTCATTGTTAGAAATATTTGTTTAAGTTAAAGTGCCATTGCTGTGTCTTCCTCACGCTTGCTTTGCTTTTGTTCAATTCTAACTGCGGTCGATTCATTCTTCCGTGTCTGCCACTTTCTCTCCATTCAAGTGCAAATTACATCGATGCACACTGCACACGAGTGATGTTTGGTTTAAACTGAAAGAAAAAATGACGCTCTCCGAGAACAAGATTTAGGAAAATTCCGCCCGTTTCCTTTTCGTTTCCTTTCCTCCGTGGGAAAACTTTTTGGGAGGGATCTCTTCCACAGCTGTTCGCTGACAACTCGGGGTTACGCACTTTGCTTGCGAGAATTCCAAATGGGTTATCCAGCTTGCAACGTGACCGCCGATAGCACGGTTGGGAATAATTTGGGAAGTAAAGAACCACAAATGTTGGAGGAAAATAAAAAAACCACGTGAACATCTGTGGGCGTTCGCAGTGCACTAGGCAGGTGTGCTTACTCAGAGTCTGGTGCAGGGTTTGGGAGGGCAGGTCGGAGTTAGGGAGACGGAGGGGCAAATCTGAACCAAGACACCATCAAGGACAAAGATACCCCGTAAAGCCTCAACAGATTCATGCATTTGTTAAACTAATTTCTTTTTGTGTTTAGTTTGTTGTCCTTCCCCCCCGCACCTCCAATTAGCTTTGTACGGTGCGAAAGAAGCTCTACATACATACATACACGCAACCGCATGTGTGCACAAAGACAAAGATTCGCCGTATAGCCTTCAATAGGCTGTTGGGGCGAGTGCTGCTAGTGAGCACCTATTAAGCTTATCCGGGACGGCACACGAGGCAGTGGGTGGCCAGCACAATGCAAGGCCGCATTTGTCTCCTCAGTGCTGATGTTTTACATGCCTCAGCAGGTACTCAATTGAGGCCGAGTCGACTTAGCGGAGGCCCAGGATTTGGTTCACTTGTAACAAAGCTGCAATTACACGCACGCACCCACGTGCACAGACACACAGACACACACACAACACGCACGCCCATGTACACATTCAGTCGGGCACACACATGCACGCACATGCACGCAAGCACTCGCAGGCGTTTTTCCTTGATGGTCTTGCTCAAGGAATGTGCCCAGAAGTCAAAGTTGGCTGGCAGCTGTGAGCGACTCTGGGTGCAGCACAGGTCTGCCTGGTTCCTCCTGATTCCCCACTCCTCTCCACTGTCGGGTCCCATCATCCACGGCTGCTGTAGATTGATTCAGTGGTCACACAAGTGGCTTGCATACAAAGCATGTGGGGTGTACACGTAGGGCTGTGTGTGTGTGTGTGGGCACGTGCGTGTTTGTTATGGGCGCGTGTGGTTAGCGCGCTACGCTACGAACCCGGCTACCTGAGTCCGACTCCCGCTCATGTCCAACACCAGTGACGATTATCTGAACCGGTCCAGGGCCTGCCCTAGGTCAACTCAGCCTCAAATGAGTACCTGGTGCGGTGTGTAAACATCGCCACTGGGGAGACAAAGGCGGTCGGGCGTGGTGTTGGCCACCCACCCCCTCGTGTGCCGTGCCGGCCTTCATAGGTGCTCGCTAACAGCACTTGCCCCCAACAGTCTTCAAGGCTAAATAAAGGATCTTGGTCGTGCGAACAAACACTGTGGTCATGCGATTGTGCGAACATTGAATCGCGTGTGTGCGTGCATGTGTTTTGCTGCCATGGGCATGCTATAGAGGGGGCATTCTATAGAGCGGGCATTCTATAGAGCGGGCATGCTATACATTGTGCACGAATGATATTTTGTCTAGCCATCGAACAAAGGCGGTCACTGCATTGTGCTTTTTCAGATGCGCTTCTGCGGCCGTCTGGAACGCTCTTCCTTATGATATTTATTCAGTAGCCACTGGAGCTGTGCACTTTTAAATCATCATGTAGATTGAAAATGTGTTTCTTTAGAACTGCTTTTTGTGTTCAGTCTCTTGTCCTTCCCCCCTGCACCTGCGATGAGCACGGTTGGCTACATACGATGCGAAAGAAGTCCAACATACATACATGCATTTTGTAACAGCCACATGTCAACCCACTTATTTATATGAGTTAATTATTCATGTTAATTATTTATCCAGGAAAGCATAAGCTGAAGCCTTATTCGGGACTTTCGTGAAGGTCCTGAATTGGCTTTTTATTTTAAGATGTTTTCATTCAATGTACAATTTATTTTATTATTATGACACGTGGGGGAGGACAACGGAGCGCCCAGAGAAAACCCACGCATGCGAGGGGGCAACACACTATCCCCGTATAAATAGATGAAACTTGCTGTACTGCCTTCTCCTGGCGAGCCAGTGTACGGCTCCTCCTCAACGCCCACGCGAAGGGAGTTTCACAACATCCACGTGTGTGTGTGTGCGTGATCAACCAACCCTCGCTGCCTCCACAGTGCTGGATTACAGGCCCCCCTCCCCAGTCACGGGAGTTGTTCGAGTAAAGTTTACCACGCTGGTCACTGCGGGTTGGTTTAACGGTGGCCTAGGGCCCGAATGAGACGGGTTTAATCGCCACACATGTTCGCCAAGATCTTAGCCGAGATCTTAGCCATGGTTTTGAGCCGTGATTTTCGCCAAGATTTTAGCCAAGGAATTTAACACGGGTAGCTGAGCTCATTGCTCGGTGCCTCTGACCGCTGCGCCACCGCTCCCCCTGCATTGTATACAGCACGTGGGTGGGGGGAGGGGGAAGAGAAAAACCATTCCTATAGCTCAAAAGCCCCTTTGTGCCGTCTGTCTGCGCATGTAAGAATAGGAGCGGGGTTGCAACCCCTGCTCCTTTAATTTGACACGGGCGTTCGTTTCAAGGGAGCGGTGAAGGAACACCGCCGTCTCATTCAGTAAGGAGCACAATCGCTCCCTTTTTTAATCTTATCCGAGACCGGTCTGACCCGTTGGGTGCTCTGTTGATGGTTCCTATAGTTAGCCTGACCCATTCGCTTTGCTAACTTGGGGGGGGGGGGAGGAGACAACTCTTCATACCTGGTTATATCCAATACAGGAATTACTGATCTGAAGTCCATGACAGCGGACACTTTTGTGATTGATGCGAAGTAAACACACTGCTGGGTGTTTAACATCACGTCGTGTCGTGTCATGGTGGGGGCGGGGGGGACGTTGTTTGTCCATACTTCCCCGCGTTGGTCAGTGCGGGTTGGTGAAGGGGAGATTCGCCCACGACCGCTTCGGATATCACTCGCCCACTATTAGCAGCGGCCTGGGAATCAAACTTCAGGTCTGTGGGTTCGGAGCGTGGTGCGCTATCCACTGCATTGCGGCCTTTCTCAATCCATTGCTGGATGATGTTGGCCTCCTGGTGGTTTCCCGAGGGCCTTCCCACGCAAATATGGATCATTATGAGGGTCATGTGACCACGTATGTATGTATAGGTATGTTGAACTTCTTTCCCGCCGTACGTAGCCAACCGTGCTAATCGGAGGTGCGCCATGGTAGTCGGTGTGGATTGGAAACGGCGTGGCGCAAAGACGCCGGGAGTACAGCGTATAAGTACGGTACAACAATGGATTTTGCCGCACTACCCTCTGCTGTTTCAAACTATAGATACTGCGGTAAGCTACCCAGGTGGCCAACGTTGCCATGCGATTGGGGCCAATGTCGGCCCATCGTGCTGCTAACGCTGCGCGTTTACTAGGTTTATAATGCAAGCCTAAAACGCATTGCGGCGATGGATACACGCGTGATCTTGAATAACGTTGACCGGTGAAGCCGCCCCTAAATGTGCGGAACTCTGTCCCTTGACTGTCGTCGCAGTGGGCGTTTGGCGTGACCATGTGGGAGATCGCGACGCGGGGGCAGATGCCGTACCCCGGCATCGCAAACCACGAGATCTACGACTACCTGCAGCAGGGCCACCGACTCAAGCAGCCGCCAGACTGCCTCGACCAACTGTGAGCAAACAACAACAGCCGCTAAATCGCTTTTGACGGTCGCCACAACACTTGTGCCACGCGAGTTGCGTTTTGAGGCCACGTGAAGTGTCGAAGGCTCGCTGGCAGGAGGTCACGGAACAGACCCAGGTGTCGTGGGTTGACTGACTGAGATGACTGGCAGACGCACCAGCTGTGCTCCCCACTGTGCCAACTTTCTGCATTTTAGCCGCCCCGGCGCCTCACTCATTGTTGTGAGCGTCGCTCCTCTGCCCGCAGTCTCACATACGCACGTCAAAGACTCATTTGGTGAGTCATAGATTCACACGGAGACGCAGACTCGTGTAGAAACCCATTGAGAAACTAAATTATTGCGTTGGCAATGGCACCATCATCATCATCGGTGTTATCTCATTCAGGACGGGCGTTCACAACCCACGCAGATTCCCACGAGAACTGGTCACATATATACCAAGACAAAGATCCCCCGTATAGCCTTTGATAGACTCTTGGGCACAAGTGCTCTTAGCGTGCACATATGGAGGCCGGCACGGCACGTGAGGGGGTGGGTAACCAACACCACGCACGGTCTTCTTTGTCTCCCCGCTGCTGATGATTTCCACATTGCGACAGGTAATTATCATTTAAGGCTGAGTCGACCTCGGGGAGGCCCGAGAACGGTTCAGATCAATCGTCATCGGTGTTGGCCTTGAGCGAGAAATTCAAATCGGGTCGCCGGGTTTGTCGGTCAACGTGCTAACCACTCCCCATACGTGCATACAAAGATCCCTCATTGTAGCCTTTAACGGACTTTTGGGGGCAAGTGCTGTGAGCGAGCACCAATGAAGGCTGGCACGGCACACGAGGGGGTGGGTGGCCAGTGTGCCACGCCCGGCCTCCTTACTACAGACGGTCGGGTGGAGGGCAATAGCGCCTGGCAGAGTGCACAGGTGACCAATTCCAGTTCACCCACCCATCCCTGCTGGGGGGGGGGGGCAGTACAAATCCCGTGCGTGTGCCGCCACCTGGTGGTACAAAGCGGCCGGCGCATCTGCACCGGGCAATAAGGGCGGCCACTATTTCGCTTTAATTCGGCTTTGTTTTGCCCAGGACATTTTCTGGAGGGTCTTGCCAAGTGTTGGCAGTCGGGGTTGGATGATTTTCGTGTATAATCCCAAGCGGAGTATTTTTTTTCAAATTTGGAAGCTATGGACTCGTCGGGGTAAGCTCTCATACTCTGATGGTGCATTGTCTTTGAGTTGTGCGCCTTTTGCCGTCTTCTGGCGTCTTCTGGTCCAACACCATATGAGACGAGGCTCTAAAGAAAGCTGTCTCGGGTGTGGACGAATCAATTTCAAGGACAGTGCCAATACATTATCAGAGTTGTTTTTTGTTTGCGTTCCGACCGCAGGTATTGTGGTCAATGTAAACATGGCTCCTTGTAAAAAAAGGTGTCAGTTTTGTTGCCAGATAAAAGGGTAAAAAAACAATTATCATATTTTTTTACTGGCAAATGAGGTTTCCAATGGTATTATAGTGACTCGTACTTACGAACATTTGACTTATGAACTTTTAGAGGTACGAACAAACCTTGCCCGTGTGTCCAGTTGCCTTTTCGGACCGAGAGTCGTAAGTTAAACCGCCGCACAATAGGTGGCGGTGGTGTCATCTACATCTGCAGAACGTGAAGAACCAGTGGCATCTACATCTGCAGAACGTGAAGAACCAGTGGCATCTACAGAACGTGAAGAACAGTGTCATCTAAATCTACAGAACGTGAAGAACCAGTGGCATCTACATCTGCAGAACGTGAAGAACCAGTGGCGTCTACATCTGCAGAACGTGAAGAACCAGTGGCATCTACATTTGCAGAACGTGAAGAACCAGTGGCATCTACAGAACGTGAAGAACCAGTGTCATCTACATCTACAGAACGTGAAGAACCAGTGGCGTCTACATCTGCAGAACGTGAAGAACCAGTGGCATCTACAGAACGTGAAGAACCAGTGTCATCTACATCTACAGAACGTGAAGAACCAGTGGTGTCTACATCTGCAGAACGTGAAGAACCAGTGGCATCTACATCTGCAGAACGTGAAGAACCAGTGGCGTCTACATCTGCAGAACGTGAAGAACCAGTGGCATCTACAGAACGTGAAGAACCAAAATATGGCATCATATTTTTTTACTGGCAAATGAGGTTTCCAATGGTATTATAGTGACTCGTACTTACGAACATTTCACTTATGAACTTTTAGAGGTACGAACAAACCTTGCCCGTGTGTCCAGTTGCCTTTTCGGACCGAGAGTCGTAAGTTAAACCGCCGCACAATAGGTGGCGGTGGTGTCATCTACATCTGCAGAACGTGAAGAACCAGTGGCATCTACATCTGCAGAACGTGAAGAACCAGTGGCATCTACATCTGCAGAACGTGAAGAACCAGTGGCATCTACATCTGCAGAACGTGAAGAACCAGTGGCATCTACATCTGCAGAACGTGAAGAAGCAGTGGCATCTACATCTGCAGGAGATTATACAACTTTTAAAGCCATACCCCGTGTTCCGTGTACATGCCGTACAACACGTTTGTAATCGACAGGAGTAAAGTTGGACTTGCGAACAAAATCGACTTGCGAACAGACCTGGAACCTAACTCATTAGTAAGCAGAAGAGTCCCTATACTATAATTGTTTAAATTTCGAAACGTCGTGATAATTTTATTTTATGTTTTATTATTATTTTATTTCCATTCTACGTGACTTTACCGAAAGAACCAAGAAGATATAATTGTTTAATAGTTTCTTAATTAAATTATTTGTATAAAATAAAGTAGCTTACAATTTGCATACACCCTGGACGCACACCTTGAAAGTGATGTTCCATCTCAACGGATTGGTCCGAGTGAAATATTTCAATGAATCAAACAGTTTCCACTCGCTCGGCTCAAAACACATTCAAAGTGCAGGCGGTGGATATCGAATGCAACATAATATGATCGCATTCACATTTAATTTGGAAAATTTTAAATATTCCACTCTCATGTGCATGCCTCCGTGCGTGTATCAATGCTTGTATTTATGTTGAACTTCTTTCGCACCGCACGTAGTCAACCGTGACAATCAGAGGTGTGGAAATGCTTGCAGACTATTGCATAAAACCCTAAAATAATCATAATACTTTATAGCCCCTTCCTCAATTCACTGCTGGATGAAAGCCTCCCCTTGACGTGTCAGCCGTGGGGGTTCTTTGACCATGCTTCGCCGGCGTCCGGTTGGTGAGGGCCAACGTGCGGCTCGGCCACCGCTCGCCACCGATGAAAACCTGTGGGCAGGAATCAAACTTCAGGTTGTTTGGTTCAGAGCGTGGTGCACGGACCCACTGTGCCACCGCTCCGCTTCACCCCCACACGTACACACATACATACCCCACCGGAGAAACTACAGTGCCGCTAATTGGAAACATCGCACGCCACTGGAAAGGATCGTTACTCCTCGGTGCCACGTCGGCGCTGCGGCTTCGAAGCCCCTACGGTCGTCACTCCACCATCCCCGACTCGTTTCCTTTGGGTTGTGCTAATGGCACAGGCCTCTAGGTGGGTGTGTCTGTCTGTCTCTCTCTCTCTAGCGGCAGCGTTTAGCGCGCTGCGCTACGAACCTGGCGACCCGAGTGTGATTCCCGCTCACGGCCAACACCAGTGGCGATGATTTGAATGGGTTCTGGGCCTCCCCTAGGTCGACTCAGACTTAAATGAGTTGCGGGGTGCGGGTGCGTAGTCAACATCGCCACGAGTGAGAAAAAGGGGGCCAGGGCTTGGTGCTGGACACCCACACGCTCGTGTGCTGTGCCGGCCTTCGTAGGTGCTCGCTCACGGCACTTGCCCCAACAGTTTATTGGGACTATGCAGGGGAGATTTTTGTCTTTCTCTCTCTCTCTCTATGAAATAAACGTGTCCCCTGTTTCGGTGCGAGCATCTTGATGCCGCCGAATCGGTTAACATCGTATCGTGTTGAGGATTTGTCAGAAGACAAACGAAACGGCACGGTTGGCTACATACGCTGCCAAAGAAGATCAACATACGCACGTAATGTCCATCATTCAGCGGTTGCACGAGACAAAAAGTGCTGTTATTTGTTCCACAGTGATTGAATACTCCTTCGTGAGTTTCCTTTTATTCCGGACATTCTTGCCGCCTCCTACACATCAACAGAAATGCTCAGAGAAAGCACCCCCCCTCCCCACCCCCACCCCTTGCTCCCCCACTTTTTTTTTTAAGGAGGATCTCAATGTGGGAAAACCTGGCCGGTTCTTTATACAAGTGCTTTTGCATGTGTATGGAGAACCAAAGTAACAAGGACCACGCTCTGAAACTCTCCCCACAACGACCCGAGTTCCATTCCCGTTCACGACCCGTAACAGTGGTGGATATCTGAACCGGTCCTGAGCCTCCCCTGTGTCAAACTCGGCCTTGAACGAGTACCTGGCGCGGTGTGTCATAAACATCAACACCGGGAAGAAAAAGTCGGCCCGGTGTGCGTAGTGTCGGCCACGCCGCACCACTTTGCCCATCGTGCCGGCCTTGAAGATGCGCTCGCTGACGACAGAACCTTCCCTATCGGTCCTTGCGTAGTGACACAGGGGGGAGCCCTCCGTCTTTCGTGTGCCGCAGGTACGACCTGATGTACGGCTGCTGGCACCTGGACCCGACGCAGCGTCCCAGCTTCACGTCGCTGCGGTACGAGTTGGAGAAGATCGCCAAGTCCCTCCCGGAGGAGCTCTACGTCAACGCGGACCAACTCGACAGGGGCCGAGCCGCCACCGAATTCTTCTCGGAGCTCGGAGCCTGCGGCGGCGGCGGCGGCGGCTGCACCGGCGGCGCCGGGGCCGTGTGGTGCGCCACGGATAAGGACCACGGTGCCGGCGGTGACGCAGCGGCGGCAGCGGTGGCGGCCGCGTTTGGGGACCTCGACGGTTGCGGCGACGACGGCGACGATGGCGGCGCCGCGGGATGCTGCCGGCCCGTGGCCTCGTGCGCGACGGTGCACTGTGAGGGCGCCGGCGATTGCGCGGAGGCGGAGAGTCGCTACGTTGTGCCGCCGTCCGCCGCCAACAACGGTCCCGGCGAGGCGCAGGCTTCCGAGCGAGACCCGGCGGCCACCGTCCCCGACAAGACGGTGTGATGACCGCGGAGTGCGGTGGCGTGGTCGTGGCGCGGGTGCAAGGAATGAGATGAGGGGCAGGGGCGGCACCTGAACCTGCCTGCCACCCCCCACTCTCTGCGTTTCTCGGCGACCCGGGACCCTCTGGCCTGTGGGCCCCGGTGGCAGTTGCGCACCGCCTTCACACTCGACAGCTACTTCTCCGTGCCAGAAATGACAGACGCGAGGGTCTGTGGGACAAGCAAACGGGGGACCGCCTTGCGTCGGTCTGTTTGGACGCTGAAGCTTCACCGCGTGCGGGGAGAGTGACTTACATCTCGCGTTGGAGCTGACGACTTGGGGTAGTGTCATCAGGTGTTATTTTTGGTGAAACGAGCAAGGGAAATGAATAAAGGTGGCAAAACAAGATCAACAGAGGATGCGAGAGTCTGTGCGTTACGCCCAATGATGTCGGTCTCTCCTACCATTGCCTTTTATACTTTTACAGGTAAACTGCAAATGACGCTTTTGTCGGCACAGTCTAATGTCTTGACAGCGAAACGTCAGACATCGTGTTAAAAAACAGCACCACGGTACAACCCGAAAACACATTGGAGAGTTACGCACGGCAACGCAAGCACGGAAACTTGCGCGGCTGTGTGCGGAGTTTGGTTGCTTACGGAACGCTTGCGTTGCCTCAAACTGCATGCGGTCTGTCAACGATTTTGTTTCTGTACGTGTGGGTCGTTGCGCAAGCATTATATTATATCCATGGGAGGTAACGTCCTCCACAGCACAAGATGAAGGAACTCCGCTCCGATCGTTTGAGATGAACTTCAGATTCCACATGGCGTTAATGAAGTCCACGAAAGAATCACAAATTTTAAAGTGCATCGGTGAAATTGTCGCTTTATGTAAAAAAAAAATAACTGCCCGACTTAATGCAATGTTTCATCACGTTCGGTAATTGTTGCAGAAATTTGTGTCGCCTACAAAACAAATGTATATGCAGCTTTCACGGTAATTACCGATAGATTATATCTAACCCTATCAATAATCGGTTGTTAAAAAGTCAATCTTGATTCTCTTAAACCCTGCTTTGTACAATCAATCACGGTTTTTTATCTTGTTTTTATTTAGTATGTACGTGTAATTTTGTATGATTCTTGTAACCAAACTTTGCACATTGTAACATTGCCAGTTTATACCTTTCAACCACTGCAGTGGGGTGGTCTGCATTTTGCACTAATATAGACGTTTATGTAATGCCCTAATTGTAATTTTCGTGCATCAGAAAATTGTATTTTCAGAATGTTGTAGAAATGTTTGACCAATTACTGCCTGAGACTCAAAGGGCTACAGGCCATGCACAATATGAAGTCTTAATTAACTCATTTACATCCAGAATAGGGTGGAGCAGTGGTTCGTACATTTCACGAGGAAAAACCATCAGCCTAAGTTTGAGTCCCAGACACGGCTAACAGCAGTGGCGAGTGATGTCCGAACCGGTCCTGGTTCCCACTCGCCTAATCCCATAACCAACTCGCACCAACCAGCATAGCTTTGGGGCGGCCTTCATCAAGCAGTGGATAAATCATGGCTGATACGACGATGTACTTCTTGCTACATGTCATATGTTGGCTTTTCAATGAGTACTTCAGAAACACAGCCACCTATATAGTTCTTATATTGGTTAAATAAATTATCATTTCAAATTTATTTTTTTATTTCAATAATTATTTACCTGGGAAAAGCCTCTTGTGTGTGCTGTTTTTTTTCAGTGAGGCCTTTTCCAGGAGAATTTGGCCAATTCCATTTTTTTAAATTGAGTTTTATTTTTATATGGAAGATAACCAGGCTGTCCGCAGAAAATCCCGTGCAAAATAAGAGGATAACCCTTAAACCCCTGAACATCTGTATTTAAGAATGTACTTCATGACAAGCAGTTACAGGTTGCTGTTTGTGATATAGTGAAAAATAAATCTTTTGGTACGTAAGATTATCCAACGTGATTTGTAAATACAACATTGTACTAACAGCCAATGCTTTGTCATGGATTTATAACTCAATTGTTTATAACCGTCAACTCTTTGACATTTTTTTATATTCTAAATGTTGTATACGTGAAAAATAAAAAAATAAATCAAATGTTGCTACTGCGTGTTTTGTTGGATTCCCCGAAAAAACACACCTCGAAATTAGAAAGACATTTTATTTTATTACCGTCATTTTTTTCGGCGATGCTGCTGCATTAGAATCAGAACATATATTTATACTGGAGGAATCTGATGAGCTATAAAGCTCTATTTCACAGATGTCCAGTAGGGGCGGGTAATAACGTTACAATAACAAACAATACAAAAACACGAAAGGAGTACATAGTGCAGGAAAGGTAAACAAATCGCTTTAAAATTTTATAAAAATAAAACTAAACTATGTTTTATCTTACAAGGTAAAGCCCATTGAGCTATTGGCTTATTTTTCAGAAGCGACCTGGCCACAAATGATATCTCAACAAACTGGATTATCAAGTGGAAATATATAAACAATGCACCTCAAAGGGCATGTAACATAGAGATATAATATTTTTTAAAATACAACACAATCGCCAATAACACTGTCTTAAGAAGAATATATGTAAGGTGACGTTTCAGGCAATAGTTCTGCTGCATAGCACATAGAGAGTCCAGAGAGAGCTAGACAGAGTGGATTGCACTATAAGAATTACATTTTCAATTATGCCTTAATGAATAGTTTCAAATCTGCACCGGAATAGTTACCCATCAACGTACCCTTCAGTAATTAAACCTATATTGCAGTACTACACCAACTAATTTGTATTAAAAGTAAAATTGTAAAATGTTGCTGGCACGTTCCATCGCAGTGAGGTCAACAGTCCAGAGGCGGGCCGTCAGGGCCAGCAAGGCCTTCTCTGCTGGCCTAGCGATTGTCAGAATCAGAATTTTTTAAAATTATTTAATATATTTTCATGAATGCTATATATATTTTACAAAGTCCGTTCCCATCAGTCTATTAACGTCATTCCATTGCTAAAAATCGACCCTGAGGCCTTCAGAATGTCGAGTTAATCCCCTCTGCTGTTGAGCAAATGAGGACGATGTTGTCATATTCTTTAACCAATCAGATGTCGAGTTTGCCATGGTGGGCGTGTTCTTTCACACGCTGGAGCCTTCTAGCTGGCCTAGCCGCCTACGTCAGCATTGTTCGTGTGGCGTTATGGGAGGGCCAGTTAGCTAACTGAAGGAAAACTAGCTAGCACGTAACGTAGCATCACCTAAGATTTATTTAAACTTTCTTTCGTGACGTTTAGATTTTTTGATGTAGTGCTTTAGATTTTTTTTTCTTTCTGTAGGGAAGCCTGTTGAATCCTGATTGTGTTATTTGTGTTTTACGGCATTTTTGCTTGACTGGTGGTCGTATGAGTAAATGTGACTGGTTGTTGTGAGTTTGTTCTTGTTTCTTTGGTAATGGCATTGATTTGGGCTATGCGATGTCTATTTGTGATGCAACATCCTCTCATACTGCGTAAAAGTGGTACATCCTTGATGGTTTCAGTCACCATGTATTCATGTCTCTGCAATTAGTGTATTGTAACTCACATAGGTGTTGAGCCTCGTGTTAAATCACTTTATTCCACTCGATAAAGGTTACTGTCACTGTGAATGTGGGGTGGTTACGTCGAATGACAATAGCCGAGAGCCCTAGTGTCACGGTGAGGTTATTCGAAGGCGGTTTAATTGCGGGAGGATAGCACTGAAGGCCGAGATGGTCAACACAATAATTCTCAATGCTTTCCCACCTGATGACGGGCCGCTTGTGTGTTGCGCCCGAAACGTCGTGTTTTATTTTATTTTATACCTACGTGACTTTTTCGAAAGAACCAAAGAGTGCAATAATTCCCATTCGCAGGGTTGGAGCGATTGATTTATCAGCGCATGTGCGGGAGGCGGATTTTGGCATTGCAGGACTGCCGTGCGGGATCCTGGCATGTGGAGGAGACTTTATCCAGCGGTGGACAAGATCATTGCCGTTGATGATATGCCAGTTTTTATGCTGTTTTGTTAAGCTAATGGCACAAACGAGACGGGCAAAAGTGAGACTTAAAAAAAAAACTAAGAAGAACAATCGTTCATATGCAAACGGTGCTGATGTAACGCTTTCCCAACTGCGCGTGCTCTGTTTATGGGGAGCGCCGCGTGACTACAAAACCCGGCAACCTAAGTTCGAGTCCCGCTCACGGCCAACATCAGTGACGAGTGTGTGAGCCGGTCCTGGGCCTCCCCATAGGCCTACTCAGCCTCAAAATGATTGCCCGGTGCGGTGTCTTTATCATCGCCACTGGGGAGACAAAGGCGGCCGGGCGTGGTTGCTTGCCACAACACCGCCTCGCGTGAACCGTGTCGAGCTTCATGGGTGCTCGCTGCCAGCACTTGCCCCAACAGTCTGTGAAGGCTACGGGGTGGGGGATCTTTGTCTTTGGTATTTAATTCGCCACGACAAGAAGGGTTGTTCTCGCGCAGGGAGCCGCCGTCAGGTTCGCACGAGATAACGTGGATCCTATTCAGGCACGTTTCTCATTTATCACGAATGAACGGCAACACCTCGCTGATCTTGTCAAGGAGCCATAAGGGGCCGTCCATAAATGACGTCACGCACCTGGGGGGGGGGGGGGTCAGACATTTCTGACGATGTGTGACGAGGAGGGGGGGGGGGTTGAGAAATGTGACGTCACATCAAAATGCGCAACTTTAAATAAATATAGAATTGTTATAACAACACTATTTGTTATAACAACACTCCTACAACATCAGAGTGCAGCGCCACATTAAATACGCACTACAATGACAATAGTTTAAAGCGATTTGAAGCATGTTTTCTTTTCAAAATGGAAATATGGTTTTGGGGGGGGGGGGCAGAGCTTTGTGACGTCATATTTGAGGGGGGTCTGACTTTTTGTGACGCCGTATGATGAGGGGGGGGGGGTCAAAAATCGTCCAAAATCGCGTGACGTCATTTATGGACGGCCCCTAAACCATACTCGCGAACGTCATCCCCGCAGCAGCGGCGGCTTTTGTGTGGCCACCGCATCAGATGCCCTTCCTGCGGCCGTCTGGAACGCTCTCTTCTTTGCGATGCCAGGACGCCACTGGAGCTATGTGCACTTTTAAATAATCGTCCGTAATGAAAAGTAACTTATTTCAGAACTTCTTGTTGTGTTTAGTTTGTTGTGCTTCCCCCGCGACTCCGATTGGCAACGGTTGGCTACCTACGGTGCGAAAGAAGTTCTATGCACATGCGTATCAAGATTTCAATGGGGTAGGTTCCTTACAATAAACACAATGTGCTTGAAGAAGGGCTATTTTTCCGAAACGTCGTCATTTGCAAAAAAAAACAAAAAAGCGTTATTGACAAATGCAGTGCATTTTTTTATTGTTGCTCCGAATCACTGAATCTCGCGGGGAGCTGGAAAATCGTGATTCTTCCACTGCCTTTTTGTCGTGGAAGGAGAGAGGCGAGCGGGGAGAGAGAGACGGGGGGGGGAAGGCGAGCGGAGAGAGGAGAGAGGCCACAGAAAACATAGGGGGAACATAGACATAGAGTAGGGAGAGAGGGGGTAGAGAGAGAGGGGGGCAGAGAGGTTAAAGAGGAGAGCGAATGAGAAAAAGAGAGAGAGAGGGAGGGGAAAGAGGGGGAGAGAGAGGGAGGGAGACGAGAGGGGGTCTGAGAGGTTAAGAGGAGAGCGAATGGGTGGGAGACGTAAACCAGGGGAGGGAGAGCGAGTGATGTGGAAGAGGCGGGGAGAGAGAGGCAGTGTTGAGAATGAGTCAGAGGTGTGAGTGTGTGCGTGACAATGAGAGAGGGAGAGAGTGCGTGTGTACAGGAGGATGGGAGACATTGACTTTTAAACAACTTTTATTGCTGCCAGCAGCAAAAGCACTGGAGGTGATTTCGATATAAAATACACAAAGTCACCAGCAAACAAATAAACGCTATAAATCCACATGCTGTGGCGCTAAATGCACCGCGCACGACACGAAATAAAAGTCACATGGTGGTGGTGGTGTTCATCGCGCGCACCATGGTGACGAGCGAGCGCTTCAGAAGGTGAACACGAGGGTACCGTCCACGCTGGTACAGAGGGCTTTTCCGGCTCCCCAGCATTCGAAGAAGACGTGCACATCACCGACATGTGTGTGGTATGCGTGCTTCAGCCGGAGCTGCGCCTTAAGCAGGCCCCTGAACACTGGAAGCACAGAGCAGCCGTCAGTGTCACCTTGCAGCATCTTTTTTCTCGTTCTGTACACCGCCATCTTCGCTGGCAGGCAGAGAACGCCCGGCCTGAGCCAGTGCTTTCCATGCCAGACGAAGTGCGCGAGTGAGCGGTTGACTCTGGCGAGAAGCCTTGGTCTTGTGCCACAGCACGGATGCAGCCAGGGTGTTAGCGATGAGCACTCGGCCCCTAAAGGACATCTGCGGAGCGAGGCGTGCCCATGTCAGTAATTAAGCCTCGATTGTGTCGGCCAGCTCGGTCCAGTTGTTCAGAGCGACGTCACGTGGTTTCCCCAGGTAAACCCCCAGGTACTTGCCTTCGTCATTCCGCCAAATGACTCCTCCTGGGAGGAGCACAGAGCGAACGCCGCCTCGCGACCCCAAACACAGTGGAGGGCCTCGCACTTGGGCCAGTTGACCCTGGCGGAGGAGGCCCTCTCGTACACTGCAACCGCCTGGCAGAGCGCGGAGGCGTCGTGCGAGTCGTTGAGGACGACGCATAACGTCGTCGTCTGCGTAAGCCGAGAGCTTGATGACCGCGTTCTCAGGTCCTGGGACTTTGAGGCCAGTCAGATTTCGTCTCAGGGGGCGTAGCAGTGGCTCAATGGACAGGGTGTACAGCAGCCCCAAGAGGGGGCATCCCTGTCTGACCCCCCTCGTCACAGGGAAAGGGGCGCCGAGCCGCTGATTTATCTTCAAGAGGCTGGATGTGCCAGTGTACAGGAGCTGAGAGAGAGAGAGAGATGGTTAGAGAGAGAGATGGTTAGAGAGAGATGGTTAGAGAGAGAGAGAGATGGTTAGAGAGAGATGGTTAGAGAGAGATGGTTAGAGAGATGGTTAGAGAGAGAGATGGTTAGAGAGAGAGATGGTTAGAGAGAGAGCGAGATGGTTAGAGAGAGAGAGATGGTTAGAGAGAGAGAGAGGTTCAGCCTCCACTCCTCCCCGACGGTCCTCATCTTTGGATACCCGAAGGGCGACGGACCCCAACATCTTCAGGGGCTGGTCAACGTGCTCTTCGGCTATGCCAAGCTCGCCATATACAGGGCGAGGAAGGTAGCCCTGGAGGGGCAACGTCCAGCCAGCAGCCTGGGCATCTTCCGTGCTCTGGTCGGAGCCAGGGTGTGGCTGGAGTTCCGCCACGCGCGGCTGACCCACGCCATGCCGGCCTTCAAGGAGCAGTGGGCGCTGGAGGAGGCCGTGTGCTCGGTGGCAGATGACGGAGAGCTCTGCATGCAGATCTAAGCTACCCGTCGGAGGCCGTTTGACTGTGGGAAGGGCTGCGTGCAGATGCAGCACTTGTCGTAGTTATAAAGAAAAAAGAGAGCGAGAGAGAGCCAAATGGAGTAGGAAGAGAGGGGGCAGAGAGAGAGGGGGGGGGGGGGCGGAGAGGGGGTAGAGAGAGAGGGGAGGCAGAGAGGGGGGTAGGAGAGAGAGGGAAGGGGAAAGAAAAAAGAAAAAAATTTGGGTCTTTCATTTCAAAGGGGGGGGGGGGGGTTACATAAAGCAAAGCATTAAAAAAACAAAAAAAACGAAATGAACGGAGCAAAGTGCCGACTACACCGAGCATCTTCTTGTTTCTTCTGATCGTAAAAAAAGAGAGGGGAGAGAGATGGTTAGAGAGAGAGATGGTTAGAGAGAGAGATGGTTAGAGAGAGGGGAGAGAGATGGTTAGAGAGAGAGATGGTTAGAGAGAGATGGTTAGAGAGAGGGGAGAGAGATGGTTAGAGAGAGATGGTTAGAGAGAGGGGAGAGAGATGGTTAGAGAGAGAGATGGTTAGAGAGAGGGGAGAGAGATGGTTAGAGAGAGGGAGAGAGAGATGGTTAGAGAGAGATGGTTAGAGAGAGGGGAGAGAGATGGTTAGAGAGATGGTTAGAGAGAGAGATGGTTAGAGAGAGATGGTTAGAGAGATGGTTAGAGAGAGAGATGGTTAGAGAGAGATGGTTAGAGAGAGATGGTTAGAGAGAGATGGTTAGAGAGAGATGGTTAGAGAGAGATGGTTAGAGAGAGGGGAGAGAGAGATGGTTAGAGAGAGGGGAGAGAGATGGTTAGAGAGATGGTTAGAGAGAGATGGGTTAGAGAGAGATGGTTACAGAGAGATCGTTAGAGAGAGATGGTTAGAGAGAGATGGTTAGAGAGAGATGGTTAGAGAGAGATGGTTAGAGAGATGGTTAGAGAGAGATGGTTAGAGAGAGATGGTTAGAGAGAGATGGTTAGAGAGAGATGGTTAGAGAGAGATGGTTAGAGAGAGGGGAGAGAGAGATGGTTAGAGAGAGATGGTTAGAGAGAGATGGTTAGAGAGAGATGGTTAGAGAGATGGTTCGAGAGAGATGGTTAGAGAGAGAGATGGTTAGAGAGAGATGGTTAGAGAGAGGGGAGAGAGAGATGGTTAGAGAGAGAGATGGTTAGAGAGAGATGGTTAGAGAGAGGGGAGAGAGAGATGGTTAGAGAGAGAGATGGTTAGAGAGAGATGGTTAGAGAGAGGGGAGAGAGAGATGGTTAGAGAGAGATGGTTAGAGAGAGATGGTTAGAGAGAGATGGTTAGAGAGAGATGGTTAGAGAGAGATGGTTAGAGAGAGATGGTTAGAGAGAGGGGAGAGAGAGATGGTTAGAGAGAGATGGTTAGAGAGATGGTTAGAGAGAGATGGTTAGAGAGATGGTTCGAGAGAGATGGTTAGAGAGAGAGATGGTTAGAGAGAGATGGTTAGAGAGAGGGGAGAGAGAGATGGTTAGAGAGAGATGGTTAGAGAGAGATGGTTAGAGAGAGATGGTTAGAGAGAGATGGTTAGAGAGAGATGGTTAGAGAGAGATGGTTAGAGAGAGGGGAGAGAGAGATGGTTAGAGAGAGATGGTTAGAGAGATGGTTAGAGAGAGATGGTTAGAGAGATGGTTCGAGAGAGATGGTTAGAGAGAGAGATGGTTAGAGAGAGATGGTTAGAGAGAGGGGAGAGAGAGATGGTTAGAGAGAGATGGTTAGAGAGAGATGGTTAGAGAGAGATGGTTAGAGAGAGATGGTTAGAGAGAGATGGTTAGAGAGAGATGGTTAGAGAGAGGGGAGAGAGAGATGGTTAGAGAGAGATGGTTAGAGAGATGGTTAGAGAGAGATGGTTAGAGAGATGGTTCGAGAGAGATGGTTAGAGAGAGAGATGGTTAGAGAGAGATGGTTAGAGAGAGGGGAGAGAGAGATGGTGGTTGTGGGCGTGAGCTCGAGGAGCAGAGGCGATTGGCGGAGCTTGGGGCAGCTAAAAGGAGAGCGGCGCCCTCCACCGCTCCGAGACCTCTGCACCACGACTCCAACCATGGCGTTCCTCCTCAAAGGCGTGCGGCGGCACTGCAAGGTGGTGGTTGTGTGGGGGCACTCAGTATTGGCGATGTCAAGTTGTACAGGCAACATCTCACGTCTGTGAAGGATGATGTTAAGTGCTAAAAAAATAAATGGAGAGTTTGCGTTGTGTGCTCGGCTGTGCGGGGGAGCGGTGGTGTAGCGGTTAGCGCTGCGAACCTATTAATAACCCACATACATCGAACCCGAGTTCGATTACCTGTTCGCGGCCAACACCGGTGTGGCGATTATCCGAACCGGCCCTCGCCTAGGTCGACTCGGCCTCAAACGAGTACCTGGTGCGGTGCGTAAACATCGCCACGGAGGGAGACAAAGGCGGCCGGGCGTGGTTTGTTGGCCTTACTAGGTGCTCGCTAACAACAGCGCCGTCTTTGTGGCACGGGAGTTGGGGATAATCTTTGTTAGTCGTCGTGTTCGGCTGTCAGAAGACCCACCCCCGCGGTTTTAGTCGTGCAGCAGTTGACACTAAACACGGCGACTTTAGGTGGCATAGGGCGATGGCAGCGTGATTCTGCGATGCGAATTTATCTAAACGATTGCAAGTTTTAATTGAGCTCGCACGGTGTCTGGTTTGTCAGGCAAAGCCCCAATCCCGTGCGAGGTGGCATCGCCCCAGGCCAGGGCCGACTGAGGGGGTGTGGAGGTCCCGGGTAGAGCCGCTAGGCAAGACGGGGGGTGGGTTTCGCGGTCTCTGTTTTTAGGCTTCGCGTGCGATTAGTCGTTTTTTTTTGTTTGTTGCATTTTAACGCTAAGCATGTTATTGATATATATTTTGTCGTCTCAGTCGGTGAGTGGGTTTGCTTACAAGGTGTTGCGGTAGTTGTTGTCGTCGTTATCTTCGAAGGCAGAAGTGTAGAATGAAAACAAGCTCACGCGTTTGCAGCTGTTAAATGCCACGCGTTGCGTTCAAGTGTAGACGCATCTCCCCTCCCGAGTCAAGTTCAAGCAGCCCTGAAATGACTTATTTCGCAACTTATTGCGAGACGATAACGAATCAAAATGTCCAATGCTGTTTTTATGTATTATTTGGTGATGCTCAATGTGGTCTTACAAAGGGGAAGAAACAAAAATAGTCGACGTTTCAGGCAATGATCCATATTTCATAGAAAGGCAGGGACACCCGATAATAATAATAATAGGCAGCGTGTTGAGTGTTTTATAAGCCGTATTATTATACAGTACTGTAAAAAAAGATAAATGTTTCCCTGATTACTCTTTGGGTCTTTCGGTAAAGTCGGGCAGTACTCAGCAGCCCGCCTGCTGTATATTTGTTTTCACCTGAAGACGATTGCTTGTGTTGCGATCGAAACGTCGTGATTTTATTTTTAATTTTCTTATTTTTCTTATTTTTCTGTCTACGTGACTTTACCGAAAGACCCAAAGAGTATGACTTCCTGCGGTCACGAAAGCTTTAAGTCAACAGTTTCCCCTTATTATTTCAATCCACCAGACTTAAGTAGTGTGGTGAAGCTGTCATCAAATAATCCTCAATGCGTGGGGTGGTGCTGTCACCCAGCATTGATTGACGTGGTGGTTGTTTAACCAAACACGCTCTGCCAAGCTGGTCATGCGGTGTGGTTATGGGTTACTCTAAATTGTATTGTTATGCCAATAATGATCGATCCTGACCAATGACGCCTGTTGTATATTTGGAGCTTGCGTACCGATAAAGTTGTTTTTATACATGTACGCGGTACGTTATCAGAACGGAATTGGAAGAAACACCGATGCCGTACACACACGTCATCGGAATGGGAAAGGGTTATAAGTAGTTCCATGATATTTTCTTCCACCGGCTATTCTCTAACATTGGGTGTTCTGAATGAAATTTTGTCCTCGGTGATATGATGCAGATATCACAATGGGAATAAAGTTGGGGGAAAATGTTTAATAAAAATACTGAAAACAGGAAATGCTGTGACCATTGCCACACATCTGAAGCCAGCTGCTGCGGGATTGTTTCAGATATATGTGTCTTAAGATGCAGTCGCATTTAAGTGCAAAAAAGTCCAATAACTATCCAGGCTTAACCTGCTTAGCTTCCGAGATCTGATGAGTTTGGGTGATTTTGGTAATAGGCGACCTATGAGTAGGCAGAATTCCATTGTAACATAAAACATATCCCCACTTACTATAATGGGGTTTTCTTTTATTCTGAAAACTCTACTGTATTCTGTTTTGTATATCTTGTCAGTAAGGTATCGAATGTTGTAATCCAAAATAAGTTTTGGAGAACACACACTCATCTCTTCCAGTGAGCCAGGCCCCTAGTGTGAATAATCATTTACAGCTGTCTTTTAAACATTAAAGCGCATCGCTAAACGTACACCTCTGTAAAGGTATTAATATTCTGTTTCCACGAATGCAATTTATACATCTAGAGGTAAGTCCTGCGGTCTGGATAACCAGCAGTTTAACAGCCATGAACACTGGCGCTTGGTAATGTGTTTTTTTTCCAAGGGCCGTGACTTCTACCAAATGGACGTGCGGATTGGCTCATTGGCACAACACCCCCTTTTTTCATTGGTTGGCAAAGACAAAAAAATATTTCTGCTGATGGCAGATTTAAATGAGAACCACGCATAAAGACTGCGATTCATTAACTATTAGTCGAGCGAATGCGCTCGCTGCACTATAAATCTGGCCTTCCGAGTTAGGTTTTCAGCCATGGCTAACATCAGTGGCAAGTGCTATCCGAACCGCTTGTGTGGCCTTGCGAGACCCCCCACCCGCACTGACCGGTGTGGTGAAGTATAGTCAAAACAACCCATATGGGTCCGTCCATAAATGACGTTATGCACCTAGGGTGGGGGGGGGGGTCAGACCTTTGTGACGATGTGTGTAAATAAATATAGACAACACGTTCTACTTAGTTAAATATACTTTTTAATACATGTTTTTTTTTTACAACAGAGTGCAGCACCACATTAAATACGCACTACAATGACAATGAATATCAATAGTTTAAAGCGATTTGAAGCATGTTTTATTTTCAAAATGGAAATATGGTTTGGGGGGGGGGGGCAGAGCTTTGTGACGTCATATTAGAGGGAGGGGTCTGACTTTTTGTGACGGCGTGTGACGAGGGGGGGGGGGGTCAAAATCGTCCAAAATCGCGTGACGTCATTTATGGACGGCCCCTATGACCCACACGTTGTGACAAGGCCTTCATCCAGCAGTGTGCTGTATTGATAAAGGACTGCAAGATTCGGTAATACTCAATTATTTAACTGTGGGGGTACATGGTCCAGCACACTATTAATAACCCACATACATGAACTTAAATTACCGGTCATGGCTAGCATCAGTGGTGAGTGACATAAAAACCAAACTCAGCTCGTTCCCTCCCGGACCCGAACTGACCCAGCTGCGTGCGGTACAGTCAACACAACTCGCATGACCCTACACAGGGTAGGGTGTTTTGACAAACATTGTAACTATTATTTACCTGTGGTGTGCATTTTTTGCTGGGTTTTATTTCTTTGCAGGGAGTCCACGCTGCGACCAGGCTGTACTCATCTGGAGCTGTGAGCACGACTACTCGTACACTTATCTCGCAGTGTGCCTTTACAACAGAGTTTTCCCCCGCTACCGGACAAGAACAACTAGGGAAAGGAAGTAATAAACGAATTTGGGATAGGGGCTTTGCCCAGCAATGCGAGGTTACAGGCCGATGATGACGGTTTGCTTGTTGTTTAATGCTCTCCTTGCAGAGCATCCCAGGGTTATTTGTAGTAATAATAATACTTTCAAAAGACATTTCCCAATCCTGCTCAAATATAATCTCACGTAGATTTTTAAAATTGTATTTAAATAGTTCAATGTATTAGCATGCCTGATATTACTCGGAAGAGTGAATAATTAGATGGACCCTTAATTGTATGCCATAGGTCAAAATAACACAGGTGTTATAAATGCATTGCATGTGTTTATACATTTTCATGGCCAATTTTTCTACCTTTTTAAAAGTTTTATTTATTGAGTGAAATGTCACTTAGTTTGGCTTAAAGTATTATTCAAATATGTTCTCAAATGTTTCTGTCTGAGGGCAGACTCATGCCTCAAGTTCCCCCAATCCAAAACCTATCTCACTCCCCCCTGCCTTCCTTACAACACCCAACTCCATGCTAGAATTCATGAGCCCTTAGGGAAGGAAAGTTGCCTTCCTCAGCTGCGTGTTTGTTAGGTGATCACATACTGCTTTGTAGGTACGATCACACACACACTGAACGGATGCTTTTAACAGTGGTGTGTGCGATGCAAATGGTTAATGGATCATGCATGCACTGTCCTGTACGTTGTGCGTGTCTCTCCAAAGCCAACCACAAAGTTGTTCATCGACGGAAAGTTTGTCGACTCCACCACCTCAGAATGGCTGGATGTGCACAACCCAGTAAGTGGTTTAATTAGTTGCATGTTAGTGCATACCTGGAAGATGACCCACAGCTTGCTTGTGCATCACATTCATTGCACAAAGACGCACAAACGAGGGAGTTGTACTCTCAGACATTTACATCTCTCGAAATCTTTCACCCCAACGCATCGTCACCATCATCATCGGCCATGACCAATCCACTGCTGGATGAAGGCGGCCTCCTCAATCTGTCCGCCGTTTGTCACGATAAGCATCCCAGCATCTGCACACAAACTGAACTCAGCACTACATCTCCATAGTGGTTCTCCACTCGGGCCCATCTCCCTCCTCCGTTGGCTGCTACTCGGTAATTATTCTCGCCCACCTGCCATCATCCTTTCTAGCGGCATGTCCTTCCCAGCCTACTTGCTTGTTTTGAGTTCTAACCTGTGTATTCACTCCAATCCATGCATTCCTCTTTGTGTGTCTTCATGAAATTCCAAACCTGTACTTTTCCCATGCTTCCTTGTGTACTTGTAAACTTGTGTGCTATTATACTGTAGAGTCACTCCAATGCATATTTTTTTTAAATTGCAAAGTTGATTTGGCAATGAGACTGTCTGAGCAAGCTCATTTTATGGTCTGCATATGGACTTGGCACTGAACCCTTTGAAAGTTGGTTGTGAAATCTACTCTGGGAGCATTAAATACAGATGAGGCAACTCTGGTATGATGGGTATGCAAACGGCTCTATGAGTTTAGCTAAGTGTTGTAATTCAATTAATTCATACTCTTCGCTCAACTGTGTCAGCTGGACTATGGGGTTACAGGACTCTAAAAGCTGGAGGGCACGTGTTGGTGTTCAATGTTAAGCTGAACTCTGCCGCTGTTGTTAAAAAGTAACCGTGTAATAATTTTCTATCCTTCCACAAATATTTACATTGTGACAATTCGTGGTCGAGATTCGATTCAATAATCGAATCCTGTTTGTCGTGCTTCCTTGAAAAGTCAACCCTTTCTGGTGCTGGAAATTCCACCTTTTTTGTGATAGATGACCAGTGTCTTTATGGAATAACCAATGTTGATAAAAAAAATGTATCAACCCCTGCTGAATCCATTCCGGAATGGGATTTGAACTTGTGAGTTTCTGATTGTTTAACACGTAAGCTTTTGCGACCAATATTATCCATAATAGAGGTTTCTGAGGTAGATCACATTAATATAAATGTCGTAAAACCCGCCTCCAACCAACACAGCCAATTAGTTTGGTTTGTCGCAAAACAAAACATGGTTATTTGTTACTAGTACAGCACACCGGTGTGTTGGAGAGTAAACCCACAACATATACATTGCGAGTACGACATTTCACCGGTAATTAATTTTGACAGTAACTGCGACCAGTCTCATTAGGCTTGTCACCTGATGAGGCTGGTTGTAATTACTGGTGAAATGTCGTACTCGAATTGTAAATGTTGTGGGTTTACTCTCCCAACACAACCGTAGTAACTAATTGGCATGTTTTGGTTACGTGACAAACCTTACTGATGTGTCAGGTGGTGGCGGGTTTAACGACACTTCCACGTTCACGATCTAATGTAAAAAACCCTCTATTCTGATTGTTAGTTGAGTGAATTAATCGCAGCGCTGCCTGCTCTTCATTATCAATCCATTCTATCCGATGCTGGATGAATCCCTCATGCCATTACCACCCCTCACGGCCTTTGCAGTTCCATTATGTTGCTTTTCCATGCACTCTTCTACCTGCGTTTCAACCTTCTTCGTCAGTTTTAACGCGCCGGCTACGATTCGGTGAACGCCGCGATTTCAGGCCACGAACGAGGTGGTGACGTGCGTGCCCAAGGCGACGCTCGCCGAGATGAACGCCGCGGCGGAGTCGTGCCAGCGCGCCTATGGACCGTGGTCGGAGACGTCGGTGCTCACACGCCAGCAGGTCTTCCTCAAGTACCAGCAGCTCATCAAGGACAACATTGTGAGTTCGCCGTGCCGAAGCCACACTGTCGTGCGGCGCCCCTGGTGGCGGATGACACTCGAGGTCACTTGCATTGGTCTCTTAACCCTTTCCCGTTCCGAGACGTCTGCAAGTGGTAGGGTGGGTTTCCCGTCACCGCTGAACGCGCAAACTTTTAGCGTTAATTTCATTTAAGGAGGCGTCCCACCGTTTATTTTTAAGACATTGTTACCGTACTCGCCGCGGAGAACTTAAGCGGCATGACCGCACTGGGTGATAGCTGGCGCCAAACTGTGTTCTACACCCTCCCGCGTGGCCTTGTGGGAGCCTCGGTACGTCTTCCAACCTGGAGACGTACCGATAAAGTTATTTTATACATGTACGCATACGTTATCAGAACGGAATTGGAAGAAACACTGATGAGGTATGCATACGTCATTGGAATGGGAAAGGGTTATAAGTAGTTCCATGATATTTGCTTCCACCGGCTATTCTCTAACATTGGGTGTTCTCAATGAACATTTGTCCTCGGCGACATGATGCGGTTATCACAATTGGAATAAAAGGTTAAAAAAATATATAAACAAACTGTCAAAACAAGCAATGCTGTGACCATTGCCACACATTTGAAGCCAGCTGCTGCGGGATTGTTTCAGATGTGTATACATGTCTTAAGATGCAGTCGCATTTAGGCGTGAAAAAGTCGAAAATTGTATCGTATTATGAACGTAGACCCGTGTGTATGTGCACGTGGCCTCGTACAGAAAGAACTGGCCAAGGTGATCACAAAGGAGCAGGGCAAGACGCTGGCGGATGCGGAAGGAGATGTGTTCCGAGGGCTGCGTGAGTCTCCTGCCCTGATGCACTCACCGCTGAAATATCATGCCGAGTGTGTGTTGTGTTAAGGTCGGCACTGGTGAGACAAAGTTGTCCAGGAATACTGCTCGCCACACCATTCCCTGGTGTGGCACTACGGCCTTCGTAGGTGCTCGCAAACAGCACGCACCCCACCAGCCTGCGTAGGCCACACGAGGCGGGGGAGATCTTTTGTCATTTGTGTGCGTGTGTGTTTGAACGGTCCCACACTGCTGCCCACAGAGGTGGTGGAGCATTGCTGCAGCATTACCTCGCTGGTGCTGGGCGAGACGCTGCCGTCGATCGCACGCGACATGGACAGCTACACGTACCGCTTGCCGCTCGGCGTATGCGCCGGCGTCACGCCCTTCAACTTCCCGGCCATGATACCGCTATGGATGTTCCCCGTGGCGCTCGTGTGCGGAAACACGTTCCTGCTGAAGCCGTCGGAGCGCGTGCCGGGCACCGCCATGCTGCTGACGCGACTCCTGCAGGACGCCGGCGCCCCCGACGGAACGCTCAACGTCGTCCACGGACAGCACGACGGTACGGGACCCCACGCACGCCGCGCTCGCACGCGCGTGAATGTACGCGTGTCTGTGTTTGCGTGCACTTGTGTGTAGCCTGCATGCCCAGCCACCACGGCCAACATTTTTTAGGAATATCTGAAACGGTCACTTAGGTGGATTTGAACCTTAATTTTGTACCTGGTGCGTTGTGTAAACATCACCACTGGGGAGACGAAGGCGGCCGGGCGTAGTGTTAGCGCACCACACCCTCGGACGCCTTGTTGGCCTTAATACGTACTCGTAGATGACACTTGCCCTCATAGTCTGTCTTTGTGTCTATGTATGTGGAGTACGGCACAGTGATTAATGCATTGAGTTATGAATCTGCCAACCTCGGTTTGATTCCCAGCCATGGAAAATATCCAGTGAAACTATGGCACGCCTTTACATGAAAGCCTGCTTGTTATCAGAATCTCCCCGTGTCATTATTGCACGTGTGTGTCTATGCTTCTTCACAGCCGTGAAGTTTGTGTGTGACCACCCGGCCATCAAGGCAATCAGCTTCGTGGGCTCCAACCAGGCCGGGGAGTACATCCACACCCGCGGCTCTGCCAACGGCAAGCGCGTCCAGTGCAACATGGTGCGTTGGTCCTGCAGTCCTCGTTACTGTCATGTATAAAAAAAATACCGATTTTCCCCCCCCAAAGTTTAATAAGGATGCGTGTGCACGATTACATGCCTTACTCTTGAGTGCATTTGTACACGCACGCATTTCCCTTGCACGATTGAATGCCCCGATTGAACCCTACAAGAAAGCAGGAGAGGATCGCGCAATGGATGGGCGACAACCTGGGGCTCTGTTTTTTTTTGCCCAATATTATCCCGATTGTGCTATCGGTGTCGCGTCGGGAAACGAAGAATCCATTCTCCGACACAACCCCTTGGTGTTCGAGTACAGCACACCGAAAGGGGCCATCACTCTGAGATCGCTTCAAGTGACCTCATTTCTACGCTGCATGGGGCAGCACTTTCCCACCCGCTCTGCCGTGAGGAACGTTCATCGCAGAGCGAGCTCGAAAGCATTTTCAAAGAGGTTGTTTAATGGCAATGGAGATATCTTGCACAAATTTAAATTCTCAAAAAGAATAAGGGTTGGAGTTGGGGGGGGGGGGTGCTGCAGTAGCATAATTAAAACGCAGTCGCAAAGTTTGTTATGGATACTGCTGGACGGACGGACGGACCGACGGATGCACAAGCATACGAACGACTCGCGCCAACGATCGACCAAGAGGCTCCACGTTCGTTTTGCCACTGAACCCGCGCAGGGAGCCAAGAACCACGGCGTGGTGATGGCGGACGCGAACAAGGAGAACACGCTGAACCAGCTGGTGGGCGCAGCGTTCGGGGCGGCGGGTCAGCGGTGCATGGCGCTGTCCACCGCCGTCATGGTGGGGGAGGCTCGCGAGTGGTTGCCCGAGCTCGTGGAGAGAGCCAAGAACCTGCGCGTCAATGCCGGTGCGGGCCCGAAATGCGGTTTGCTGTGCTATTGTGGTTGTGTGCGCGTGTTCAGTAGGTGCTCGCTCAAAGCACTTGCCCAGTCTTGTTAAGGCTATGCCGTGGATCTGTTTTTTTGTCAGGAGCAGATTCTCCCAAATCAACAGTCCCTAACTCTACTGCTATGTCACCATTCGGCCCCACTAAAACAAAGCGCATGCCTAGGTTTTTTTTAATGTCAGCAAACACTGTACCACCTCGTAGAGTAACGAGGCACTTTTCAGATACAGTGGAGGAGTTTCCATACCTGGGCAGTGTGCCTATGACTAGTTCCGGTTTGGTAGCGGAGGTTTCACTTTGAATCCGTCGGACAGGCTTATCTTTTCATGGGCAGCATAACCCCGGAAGCTGCCAGACCTATTGCTGAACACGACTGACCTTTGTTGGAAATTTGACATTCCCATGGCGGGGGGGGGGGGGGACATCTCGGCGATGCAAACCGCTATTGCCTCTCCACAAAGAGGAGGAACCCTTGACCCCCCCCCCTCCCCCCCCCCCCCCACTTGTGTGTTTCTCTCGGGCGTGGGTGGATTGTTTGTCGATGGGCGCAGGCGACCAACCCGGTGCCGACCTGGGTCCCCTGATCTCCCCGGAGGCGAAGGCGCGCGTCTGCGAGTTGGTGGGCAGCGCTGAGAAGGAGGGCGCCCGCATCATTCTGGACGGGCGCAAGGTCTCCGTGAAGGGCTACGAGAGCGGTAACTTCGTGGGGCCGACCATCATCACCGGGGTCAAGGTGAGGATTTGACAGTGTGAGCCGAGGGGAAGTTTTATCTTGAAATGCGAATGCCTGATTGTAACTTTGTGTCATTGTCCACTTGTGTTGAACTTCCAACCTCTTTTGCACCATACGTAGCAAACCGTGCTAATCAGGAGTTGGGCAGTTTCGAGCAGTTATCAAATTAGTTTCTTGCAGTGGTTTTCACACCTGATGATGATTGCTTGTGTTGCAGTTGAAACGTCGTGAGAATTTTATTGTTTTATATATTTTTATTATTTTATTGTTTCCCTTCTGCGTGACTTTACCGAAAGAACCAAGAATATGAATCCCTGCAGTCACGAAAGCTTTCAATCAAAATTAGTTTTTGTTGTGTTGAAAGGACACACTGCGGTCTTTGCGGCCCTCAAACTCCTTCCGTGGCAACAGTCGTCGCAGCTCCACGATCGTGAAGTTTTCATCTTCTTCGCGGCGATGGTAACCAGTTTGCGCCAACCCCCGTGTGGATGTTCCCCCCCCCCCTCCCACGCGTAGCCACACATGAAGTGCTACACGGAGGAGATCTTTGGGCCGGTGCTGCTGGTACTGGAGGCCGATTCCCTCGACGAGGCCGTGAGCGTCATCAACAGCAACCCCTACGGCAACGGCACGGCCATCTTCACCAACAACGGCGCGACGGCGCGGAAGTTCACGCACGAAGTTGACGTGGGCCAGGTGAGAGGATCCTAACCTCACCCCCCCGCCCCCCCCCCCCCGCAAAGAATTTAGTGATATGGATGGCACTAAGCAAGAGGCGATGAACCGTTTCGTAGATTTTAAATGAATTCTTGTGGTCGTGACGCGTGCGTCGAATCGCGTATTTGTTGAGAGTGGATGTTGCGTTGACTGTTTTTGATTGAGTGCATTGTTTCTAATCGGTTCACGTTCACCCTCCAAAGCGGTAACTGGAGGAGCTGCCGTTCACCGCCGTGTGGAAACGAAAAAAGATTCGCGAATCGAATCGCAAACCCTGAATCGCGACAATTCTTTGCAAGCAACGATACATCGGTTGAATTATTACACTCGCAGTGCATGCAGTTCTTACAGTTATGATTAACAGTCAAATTGAGTATAAGAATAATTGATTTCCAATTTATTCATATTATTAGTAAATTATATTACTGTTAGTGGCTCGTGTAGTTCAGGAAACTGTACGCAATACAAAAAAACGTAACTTTACGAACGAGGTTTAAAAAAAAAATCACAACAATCAAAATTTGAATCGAATCGTCGCCCTGAAACGTGAGACATTGGTAATTGCCGTGCGTTTGAATGCTTAAATACCTGCTGCACATTCTATGTCAGTTATCGCAGGAACTGATACGTAAACTCTTTTTCTGTCCCGACTCCCAAGATTGGTATCAACGTCCCGATTCCAGTTCCGCTTCCAATGTTCTCCTTCACTGGCTCCAGGGGTTCGTTCCGCGGGGACGTGAACTTCTACGGCAAGCAGGTAGATGACTCTCGCCCGCGTATCCGCGTGTCTTTTTTTATATTTTTGTCACGTCAGTTAAAAAAAAAAAGTGACTCGTTCGTCGTCACAAGAACGGCGCTCCCATTTTGAACACCGGTTACCCTAAGGCTGTTGTTGTGTTTCTGGTTTATCTGGCTTGAGTTTAACTGGCTTTGAGGTATACCACCACACCACCTGTAGTGACACCATTGCGGGTGTTGACTGTTGCAAATTTGCAATACGATATCGATGCAGCGGCATTGCTCTCACACACTTCGTTTTTTGGCGCTTTCCAGGTAAAGTTGAGCGTTCATGCGTTAGCTCTGTAGCAGGAGGCACGGGCTCTCGTAAAGATTACGTTGGAGAGCCCGAGGTGCATAGCCTAGGAAACGTATCTGCAAAACTAAGTTTATTTTTCGGGTTGCAGATTTAAATCGGGGGTGGGGGGGGGAGGAGGGCAGGGCCGCTCTGATCGACTGTTAATTCACATTGAACATCATGACTAATTGGTCCTCCGCAGGGATAACTTTCCCCACCCGTACGTTAAAGGAGCAAGGTTGATTTTTTTCTTTATTCCGTTTGTTATCACTAACCTCGGCCGTGTGCGCGTGCACAGGGTTTCCAGTTCTACACGCAGCTCAAGACGGTGACCGCGCAGTGGAAGGCAGAGGATGCCACGGAGAGTGTTCCCACCGTGAACATGCCAACCATGGGCCGGCAGAAGGTCTAACCGGGGTGGGGGGGGGGGGGGCCCCCTCGTGCCATGTGACCGGCGAAGATCGTGCGCGTGACCCGATTTTGGAAGTGCAATGTCCCAAAGCAAACCCCATTCGTGGAACGAACCCTTACGTGACCTGTGTCTTGTTTTTCCTGTAGGCTCGCATGAAGAGAGGGTATGGGAGAGAAACTAAAATGTATCTTGAACGTGGTTATCTGCAAAGGCACAAGTCTGTAATGCCGCCAGCACAGAAATTTGTGCCGGCGCAAAGGAATTGTTTTTTTTATCTCGTTTTTCAAGATCTTTATCAACATTTCTCCATGGGGCCTTAATCATTGATTTTTGACACAAGCGGAATTTCAAAGCCGTCAATTTTTACCGTCCGATTTTCAATACTCATTTTGGGCTCATCTGTACATGTCAAAATAAACCTCTCAAATGTGATTTGTGTGAAACGGTGACGGTTCGTGTGTGACATTTAAGGGCTCTTCCAAAAAACTTTTACAGACATGGCCAATAAACTGTTCTCTTATGTTTTCTTAAAATCAGTCTACAAATTGGCAAGTGAAATTACCCACCCAAATTAAATAATCAACTCCACATATACTGTAGTTTTCAACTGTTTATTTTGTCAATATCACCCCTTCAACACAATTGCTACAAACAAAACATGAACACATCATTATTGGACGTCACGTGTGACATTATTTTAAGCCACTCCAACCGTAATTGCTGATTTTGCCTGCGAATGCGATTTTCACTTTTAGCCGGGCGTTTGCAGCGGTTGCCTATGCACGTGGCCTATAATCATCCAGCATTTGTGGAGGAAGCGAGGGCTGGTGGGGGATCACACGAATGTTGTTGTTAAACTCCCTTCCCGTGGGTGTCGATGTTGCCATAACCCTGTCTCTCCAGAAGGCAGTTACAGCAAGTAGACGAATCGCAATCTGCTTCCGTCTGTACAGGGATGGAGTGTTTCTCCCTCGCGCCTAAGCGCTCATTAATTAGCTGAAAATCTTAAAATGAAAAAACCCAAATGCAGGACCCTCGAAAAGTCGGTGTGGCTTTGCTGGATAAATAATTATAGGATCAGCTGGTTCCGTTACTGACCTGTTCAGATCCCCTTAAATACCTTGGGTTTTTATGTTCAAATGTTTCCGTATTTTAATTTTCAACTCCAACAATGCACTTAACGCTCGAGTTAATGTAACATTTATTGCCAATTATTCTGGCACTAATTCCCCATGTCTCTATTAAAACTGTCTTTTACACTAGATAGCATTGGGCCAAGCTGCAATCTGCTTGTTAATCAAGGCTCGCAATGAAATAAATAACATTCCAAGTCCTTCCAGACTAAGTTACATTAAGCCGCTGATGGATGCCAACTGGTATCTTCAACAAGATTGTTTAATTTAATCCCAATTCGTAACTGCATGTTCTTTTCATCAAAAACTACTTTTTTAATTTACAAATTGTTATGAAGTTGGACAAAAGCAAACACGCTGCTGCGACTCCAGCCTTGTTGTTGTGCTATAGCGCGCCCCTTTGCAGCAATCTAGTTCGTGATGAAACGGCCACAGCTCAAGAGAATGAGTAAAATCAAGAAGCTTATGCATCCTTTGAAAGGTAAAAACCTGCAGCGCGAGCATCGCCGGCTCACCTGGCATGACCGCTGGTGACACGCGCGACACGAAAAACCCACAACCCATCGCCGAGAGATGGCGGTGACATTTGGAACGCTCCCAAAGTGCGGTATATTTTCAAACATCTCAAAATGCAACGCCGGCTACGATTTTCTTGTGCGGTTCAGCCCAGCCGACATTTTTTTTTTGCAAAGGTTCCATTTCGAAACTGTGCTTTCTTTAAACAGGCGTCAACACGAATTGTGGCACGTAAACTAAGACCAGGATTAACGAAACCCCCCCCCCCCCCAAAATGACTTCGGACACCATAAATATATTATCCATCTCTAAAGTGCAACACAGGCTCTGACTGAGACTAAAAACTTTGCTACTAATCTGTCGGTGTAATGAGCATGCATGCAATATTATAGAACGGTATTGTTTCTTCTACGTCACGGGACGGTTGGATGTCCTCACAGATGTACGGACAGGCACATGGGGATTAGGGGCGGGAGAGGAATTGTCGCCCGACGCGGGCAACATGTTCGTCGTCAAAGGGCGGAGGGAGTCAGAACTTGTCAAACTTGTCCATGGGGTAGTGCTCTGCGTAGATTTTGACGTGGCGTCTCATCTCATCCATCTGCCGCTGGATGTGCGGCGTCATCTCCTTGTACACGTCGTGGAATAGCTCCGAGGGGCTCGGCTTGAGTCGCTTCTCCGCCTTCTCGAACGCCTCCAGGACCTGCGGCGTGCGGGACGAAAGCGCGACCCCGAGCAATATGACGTGGAAGATTCGCTAACCAACATGGGAACATTAGTCCCTTATCCGCGGCGACGTGGGGGAGGTGTTTCTTGGCGGATCCAATTATTACGCATCTGCAGAAATTACTCCCGTTGACGCCTACGTGCGTCTGTTCATGGGCAAATCGCGGAAGAGGATGAATTTGCCACCGCTCGGCAGCGTGGTGTGGCCCTGGGTGCAAGGAACGTACGTACGTACGATTTGTACGTATGTGCATATGTTGAACTTCTTACGCACCGTACGTGAGCCAACCGCGTTAATCGGAGATGCCGGAGAAGGCCAACAAAAACTAGAAAGCAGTTCTAAAGAGATTCAACGAAACAGGGCGAACCGCCTGTCCCAATTTACCCCCCCCCCGCCCCAAAAAGAGAAACACGATACCCATACAGCGGTTGGCTGCAGGCGAAACGGTGTGTGTGGGTGTGTGGGTGTGTGTGGGTGTGTGTGGGTGTGTGGGTGTGTGTGCGCGCGTGCGTGCGAACGCGGTACCAGCTTGCGCGACTGCTTGCGCCAGTCCTTCTCCAGCGAGTCGTTCCACATGCTCTCGCGGAGCATGTAGTTGCGGAGTCGCGAGATCGGGTGGTCCTGCTTGTCCCAGTAGTTGACCTCGTCCACCGAGCGGTACGCTGAGCTGTCGTCGCTCGTGCTGTGGTGCCCGATCCTGAGAAGGGCCCATCGCAGTGCGCAACTCGCGTTTAACGGCCAAGTCAACAAATATATAATACAGGCCGAAACAATCACAGACACCCCTCTATCCAGAGAGCAAAGCATTATCTCCTCGCCTCTTTCCCCCTCTCCCCAGGCCTTCTCTTAGTGTGTTGGTTATTATTCTCCCCCCCCCCCCGTCTCCCCTTCCAATTTAAATCTATTTCCCCCCCCCCCCCCCCGCATGAGGTCCCCACTTGGCTGGAGCAGCGGTGGGGGGGGACACCCTGCTCCCCTTCGTTTCGCCCCCTTTCACGTGGCCCAGCCACGCCGGAATGGACGTTTGTGGATTTTGTATCCTGTCATTGGTATCTCCCGGTGTGGTTTTGGCCGGGCCACCCATGTTGCTGCAATAAAAAAATACGTAATACAATACATGTATAACAAAGGCATTATGACGTACGTTTGTCCTCTCCGCCAACCTCAGCAGTGGCTCGGGAGGTGGGAGGAAGGAGGCGCTCACCGGTAGGTCATGGCCTCGATGAGCGTGGGCTGGTTCTCGCTGACTGCGCGCCTCCGTGCCTCCCGCGTGGCGTTGTACACGGCGAACACATCGTTGCCGTCCACGCGGATCGACAGGATCCCGTAGCCTGGGCCCCGCGCCGCTGCGATGGACGTCACACGCACGTTAACCCTTTTCCTGTTCCGATGACGGAATCGTCTTTTCTTCCGATGGCGTGCGTGTGTACGCCATCAAAACGAAAGCGGGAAAAAACATAAAATAACTTTATCGGTACCGAGGCTCCTGCAAGACCATACGGGGAGGGGCTTGTGGCACAGTTTGGCGCTAGCCATCGTAGAGTGCGGTGGTCGTGTTGCGACGATGTCGCTGCGGTTCTCTGCGGCGAGTGACAATGTCTTTAAAAACAACGGCGCTACGTCTCTCTAAATAAAATTAACGCCGAGCACCTCGCGCGTTCCGAGATTCAGAGGTGAACAGGACACCCCACCGTGAACAGGAAAGGGTTAATAATAACAAGAGGGGGGGGGGAGCCTACATCGAGATGCCTGGAAGACAAGCCGAAGCGCACGCACACGAGAGAGGGTAGTACTGAAAAGCATCATCTCAATCTTCCCAAAGTTTTTAGTCGGTGTATATTACCTGCTGTGACACGAGTCAGAAACATGGACGAAGAAAATGGAACAAAGTCTGAAGAGAGTGCAAAAAAAAGCACGGAGAGGTTCACGGATGGACTTGCGTTCAGACGGAAAGGCTTCACGACCCAATTGCTGTACCACCGCGTAGCCAAATGGGGTTGGGAGTTTTACAAATCTCTACATTATCCACCAACACTTATATTTGCAACACAGTTTGGATTCAAGTAGAATGTAAATGCGGCCACATCTCAAGACGCTGTAAAAAAAATAACTGGGCTTATTCATGTGGAGAGAGGCAGTCGGTCACAGGCATATGAATAAAAGAGGAAGATCTTGAGGCCAGCCATGAACGAGGGCAGGGAGTCACCAGCACGGACAGCAGGGGAAACGCATTTCTGGACTATGGGGGCTCTACAATTGGTGGCTCACACTGTTTGATCATCGGCGTGCGCCACGGCGATTGTAATCAAGAAACGTGCAAGCGTGGCGGTGTTTGAGACTGGCATGAAGTTGGGCACAGACAAAGTCACTCGGAAGCCAGGCAGGTTTACAGCCAATCAGCCAACGCCATAATGACCACTGCCAAAGCCATAAACTGCTGGCAACTGGTAACATTAAAGGCTCCCGTAATTACGTATTAAGAAGACCGTGCGAATAACAGGTCTTGTAATTAAATTATTGATCAAACCCATTGACCTATGGATAAAAATTAATATTTGGTGAACTTTTCCTCAAGAGCACATGTCAGTGCCAATTAAGAGACTCATATTTCCCAGCACCTTCGATTAGCACGGTTGACTACATAAGAAGTTCAACAGACACATCTCGCTTTTTAAATGTGAAAAAGTTGTTTGATTAACTGTTACGTTAAGGATAAAAGAAACTGGCCAGATTGTTTTCATTTTGTAACGTAATCGTAAACTGGTTAACCTGACAGATGGAAGCTGGGGTTTATAAATGTTGCAATCTTAAGAAGTGGGACGTGGAAGGCCGAAGACATTTTTTGACACGCTTATCGAATTCACTTTGTAAAATAAATGTCAAACACATAAACAATGGGAATTGGGAGCACAGACCACGTGGTTTGAGCAAAGCTTCAGAGAATTTCACGCAACATAAAATTATATATATTTAGAACTGCAAGGGCAAAGCAGCAAGCCGTAACCTGCAAGCGCACAGCCTTATTGTTAGCATGCAATCCGATTTCTTGTTGTTGA